TGCTGTATCCACTGGTTCTGTATCCATAGATTCAACCAACCACAGCTCAAAAAAATGGGAGAAAAATCCTAAAAAGCAAACCTTGATTTTGCCCCATGCTGCGCTAATGTATAGGTATACTTGCTGTATCCTCCTACCATTTCACAAACCCTTAGCTCTTTCTCACGTTTGTTTGATTTGTTCATTTTATGTAAGGTACACCATTTTATTATGCCATTGTATATCATGGGACTCCTGCATCCATGGATTTTGGGATTACTAAGAATGGGGGTTCGAGAACTATACCACAGCAGATACTGTGGCCCACTATTCAAACTGGCCCACTGTTCAAACTGGTCACGTTTGGTGGGGAGGAGAAACAGGGCCTTCTCCATGGTAGCCCCTCGGCTGTGGAACTCCCTCCCTAAGGAGGTCAGATCTGCCCCCTCCCTCTTGACCTTCAAGAAGAAACTTAAATCCTAGTTATGGGAGCAAGCATTTGCAGACTAGATTGATTTTACTGGCAATGATGAGTTTATTGGACTGCAATTTGGATGGATTTGGATGATGTTTTAACCTGGCGAAGTGTTTTAATGTATACTGATATTTATTTTTTAGGCATTCAATTGTATTTTATGATGTGTTTTATTGTTTTGCCATCGAATTGTTGCCTGCCTGTTGGTAGCCGTCCTGAGTCCCTCCTTGGAGGTCAAGATAGGACGGGGTATAAATATTCCCAAGCACTTAGCAGCCTGATATAAGCAACTTATCTCGAACACTGAAGATAAAATCCCTTAAATCTGCATGAATATTATACATGATACAGATCCAGTGAATATAACTTTGACTTCTGATAATTGACACAGTTCATACAGATTGAGGATACAGGACAAGATTCTTGGTGTGGTGAAGGCCATTACACATGTGCTTTTCCCAGCTTATTTTTGAAAAGCCAGGGGGGAGCTGGTCATGCAAATAGAGTGAGTGGTCAGTTCCTCATTTAAAATGGCAGAATAATAGAATCACAGAGTTGGAAGAAAACTCATGGGCTATCCAATCCAACCCCCTGCCATGAAGCAGGAAAATCGCAGTCAAAGCACAAATGGCCATCTAGCCTCTGTTTAAAAGCCTCCAAAGGAGCCCCCACCACACTCTGAGGCAGAGACTTCCTCTGCTGAACAGCTCTCACAGTTAGGAAGCTCTTCCTAATGTTCAGATAGAATCTCCTTTCCTGTAGTATGAAGCCATTGTTCCGCGTCCTAGCCTCTAGGGCATGCTTCTCGTCTTTTTGGCTAAGATCAAGTGTCTCTAGGGCAGCAGAAAACAAGTTTGCTCCCTCCTCCCTATTACATCCCCTCACATATTTATACATGGCCATCATGTCATTTCTCAGCATTCTCTTCTGTAAGTTAAACATGGCCAGCTCTTGATCATTTTAGTCGTCCTCCTCCGGACACATTCTAGCTTGTCAGCATCTCCCTTCAACTGCAGTGCCCATAATTTCGGGTGTGGTCTGATCAAGGCAGGATAGAGGTAGAATGCAGGTCAAAATCCCATTGGTTTTTTTAGCTGCCAAATCACATTGTTGGCTCATTTTAACTTGTCCGAGAAGACTGCAAGATTTTTTTTCCCACACGTACTGCTGTCAAGCCACGCATTGTCCCCTATTCTGTATTTTTGCATTCCATTTTTTCTGCCTTAGTGGAGTATCTTGCATTTGTCCCCACTGAACTTCATTTTGTTAGTTTTGGCCCATCTCTCTAATCTGTTAAGATCGTTTTGAATTCTGCTCCTGGTCTTCTGAAGTATTGGCTATAACTCGCAATTTGGTGTCGTCTGCAAACTTGATGATCATGCCTTCTAACCCTTCATCTAAGTCATTAATAAAGATGTTGAACAGGACCGGGCCTACGACGGAACCCTGCTGATGGCACTCCGCTCGTCACTTCTTTCTAGGATGAAGAGGAAGCATTGGTGAGCACCCTCTGGGTTCATTCGTTTAACCAATTACAGATCCAACTAACTGTAGTTTTGCCTAGCCCACATTTGACTTAAGTTTTTTTTGCCAGAAATTCATGGTGGGCCATTATGCCTTAAGAATCCAGGTAAAAAAAAACCTTTGTTTAAAAAGCCCTCACCGGATCTCATTGCATCAGACTAATACCAGCCAATATCCAATATTCCATTTTAGGGCCATGTAGATCCGGGGTTTTCTGGATTAAATGAATTATTTAAATCCATTTCAGACTAGTTTCAGGCATAACTATGGGGTAGGTCAACGTGGTGGATGCCCTGTACCAGGAACTAGGCAACATAGTGTGTCCCTATTGAATCTGCTGCTCTTTTGCTGGTTTTAAGTACCACTGGATCATGGCATTTTTGTGGGGTGTCTTCCGGAGATGCCCTTATGGTCCCATTGCAAAGGGCTAGCCCCAATTCAAAGAAAAGGGTTTCAGGAGAGAGAAGTTACGATTTATTATTTATTATTCTTAATGGTGCCACCAATTTGTGATGTGAGGTAATTTTGGGAGATTGGGCACACTGAACGCAGAATTAATGGAGATGAGGCAGTCTTAAAATCAAAGAGAACAAGTTTATTTTGAAACAAAGCGTATGGTTGCAGTTTGGTGATAAACTTGGAAGATACTTGGAGAACGTTACATATAACTTGGTTGCGATACAGTACAGACTTCTGATGTTACAACTTATCAATAACTTTTGCTGTGGTGAAGCACTTTATTAAACAATGGTTCCTGAGGTGAATAGTCTTCCTGTTTGATCCTTCCGTGATCAAACCTCAGATCTCTAGTTCACTTTTAACTAGTGATCTAAACAAGCTTCTATTAGTCTTCTCTAACTAATGAAACTAATAAGGTTTCCCCTTCAGCCTTCCTAAACTGAAGAAACCTCTGACTATTCACAAACACTGCTTCTCTACTTCCCACTCTCTCTCTCAACACTTCATTTCCCTGAGCCTAAAACCTAACTCTTCATTCCTCTGAGCCTAAACCCCCAACTAACTTTAACTGTCGCTTTTCAAAACTCTCCTCTCTAAGCTCCTCCCACTTCTCTACAGCATCGTTTCCATGGTAACACACTCCTCACAGCTAGGCCGCTCCAGCATTAGGGCAACCAGTGCAAACACAAATACAGTTATAATCATATCATTTACAATCAACTTCTGTACACCATCAAACTCTGAATCTGTGATCAGAGTACTGCAAATTAATAGGGAAGAGCACCAAAACCATTGTTTTCAATGGCAGTGGGATTTTTCATGACATATATAAAATTGCCATGAGAAATGAACCTTAGACACACAGCCTGAGTTAGGAGGTTTTTGTGATCTCATATTTACCTATCAGTACACAAACTTAGCACCCATATGTAGATATGGAAATTTAGTCTCAATTTAGGCCAGTGTAAGAATTCAAAAGATAATGCACATAGCTCATGTTGGAAGACATAGCAGCTTGTGCACTTGTTCTCATTGGTGTCTTGACCAGTGGGGATACAAGACTTTACAACAGATTAAGATGAGGAAATTGGAATTCCTTTCTGACCTGTTTGATTCCTCTAACCCAAAACCTCTATGTAGAGATTATATGATCCAGTTCAACCAAGATTGCTAAAAGGACAGTCCTCTTGTAAAGAAAAAATAATTGACTGAACCATCTATATTTTGCTTTTTTTTCCTGGCCAACACTGTCTACTCTTTCCCTCTATATGAAGGAAGATGTTGCAACGTGTTTACGTGTCATCTTTCTCTCTTTTGAACTAGTTTAGAAAGGTCGGGGAGTTTCTATCTGAAGAATGTATAGGTTGAGCTCCCCTTATCCAGAATTCCAAAATCCAAAATATTCCAAAATCTGAAATTGTCCATATTGGTGGCTGAGATCATGATACCTTTTCTTTCTAATAAACCAATATGTTGCACAAACTTTGTCTCATACCAAATATATGATGAAAATATATTCAGGCTATGTGTATGAATAATATACAAAACAAAATTAAATTTATGTTTAGACTTGGACCCCAACTCCATGTTTTATTATCTATATGCAAGAATTCTAAAATCTAAAACACTTCCGGTCTGAAGCATTTTGGAAAAGGGATACTCAACCTATATTTCATTAATAAAAATTTCTTCTGTAGATTTCTAAATGTATTTTCTGCCTCCATTTGGATCTTCCTAAAATGGGCACTTCTGCTATGTCTGGAGTAAAGGCTCTAAGAGGCCTTTCTTTCCAATTATATCTCTGCATCCATCACCTCTAACTGTTCACACTGATGGTCTTAGGTCAGACAAAGGGGAATATTAGAAGAAGAGGCATTGCAGAACTCTGTAAAGTAGAACTCTGTAAACGGCAGATATCAACAGATTCCTTACTGCTCCAGACACCGAATTTGGGTGGTAGAATCCCTCAGTCTGATAGAAATTTACCAAACCAATTACAGTAGTCTCTCGCTTATCCAACCTTCTGTATTATCCAACACAGTCCAGGGTGGAAGAAAGAATCCTTGTCTGTTTTGGTGCTAAATTTGTAAATACAATAATTACTACATAACGTTACCATGTATTGAACTGCTTTTTCTATAGATTTGTTGTAAAACATGTTTTAGTGCTTAAAATCATAATGTAATCATAGCATAATTTGATGTTTAAAAGGCTTTTCCTTAATCCCTCCTTATTATCCAATATTTTCACTTATCCAACATTCTGGCAGCCCATTTGTTACTACTCTACTGTAGTAAGAAAAATATACATCTTGATAACCAATTCATGTGGTATATCACAGCTTACAGCACATGTACCAAAAACGTCAATATTTTTTCCTCAAGAATGCCTCCATCAACCATGTAGAATATTGACCTTTTGACCATAAAGTGTAGCCTGTGGGCATCATGTTTATGAAAGCAGACTAAACTGTATTAATGCAGAAAGTCATCAGGATTGGTGGAAACATGTTATTCTCTGTGATTCAAAAAACACTGCAGCATCAGAAGAAATACAAGGTCAGTTTCATTTGCTCAGCTTTATTCAACCAAAATTCAACATGCTGGAAAACAGATAAGACCTCCTGTTGGCAAAGTAGTTTTTTGAAATAGTTCTATTTCTAAGCAGCGTTGCTGACATGAAAAATAGAAAAATTGCATCACAAACAAGTTGGTCCCACAGCAAAAACCAGCTATTAATAGGAAATAACCAATGGATGCCATGAGTAGTATGATTAAAAACAGAACCAAGACTGCAGTTCTGTGCACATTTATTTAGATAGAAGTCCCTCTAAACAAAGCGAGCTCTATTTCTGAATAAATATGCATAGGACTGGGCTGCAAATTTAATTAAATGTGAGTATGCTAAATTAATTGGTATGGGGGTCACAGCTATATTTTATCTCAAGTCTATTTTATTTTTTTAAAAAAATCTGTGCATCCAAGGTGAATGCTTTTACAATCTTCTTTTAAATGTATTTTATACAATGTATTTACACGCTATATTTCTTACTATACAGAAAAATAAAATAATTTTAAAACTCTGCAAAAAATGCTAGATTCTTATCCATATTACATTTCTCAGATGATAGGTGCATTTAGATTTTTTTTGTTTGATTTGTTTTGCCAATGTTTAGCAGTAGAAACACAAGGAAATTCAGGGTTATGAGCTCCTTCTTTCCCTGGGATGGCAAGTTTTTCTAAACAACCTTTCAATCGGGTACAGCTAGCATGGCCAATGATTAGGAATGCTGAGAAATGCAGTAAAAATATCTGGAGTGTACTATAGGAATGATTGTTCTAAACTGATTTGTATTTGCCTGTGTCCAAATGCAGCAAACATTGGTTTATTCAAACCATAATCTGCTCATAAAGCAGAATGAAACTGTGGCTTCAGGTTGTGGTTTAGGAGCAAATCATGGTATTATTCAAGGAAATACAGAATCATACATTCTGGAACCTGTCTGATTGTAATGACTATGTTTTCAGGAAAAAATGTTCTGGTACAGCTATAATTCACACAGACACAATCAAAATTTCTCTTTAGCCACCAATGCTTCAAATCTGAACCAACTTTAATTACACTGCATTTGTGTATCTATTTATCCTAAAGATAAACAGGAAGGAAAATCATAAACCTTTTGCATAAATAAAACTTCTTGAATGGGGAAGTTTCCTAAATAACAGAATATCAAAAATTCTTGGTATACAAATTGTGCAAAAAAAAAAAATCAATTCACTGCCCAACTCCCAATATTTTTCCCAGTGTAACTGTACCATACCAAATACACAAGGTCACATTTAAATATGGAACAGGACCCAGTTGAGCTGAATTACCTTTACTCAATCTAACCACCATACAAAATTCATACAGGGTCAGCAGGTAGTTCGAAATACGATGGCAGTGAAAATAACTTCCTTTCAGATTTCTATGTAAACCACAGCAACATAATTCTAGTTCCTCTTATAAGTATTATGCTTTTGGCAATGATCCAGAGGGCAAAAACTAGGTGCACTAAAATGCTCAAACTGTTTTTTAAACTTCCCAAGTTTAGAATACTGGTTGGAGATTTGCTGCAAGAGCAATTCAAATTGAAAACTTGGGAGAAAATACCACGTGTGCCTCAGTAAACATTTTACTTTCATGTCATGTCAAATTCCTTTTCCTTTTATGGTTTAAAGCTGTATTCTGACAGGGAAAGCCTGCAAAGTAATTCTGAGCATATCTGGAAGACAGGCACACATGCAATCCTTTGGATATGCTGTTAGGTTTTGGATTTATATCACAGATTTATGGTAAATTATGGCCAAATAAACCAGCCATTAGATAAGAGATTTTTCATAGTTTATTTATAGAAACACAAAATAGACTTTTGATATACTGACCTATTGTATAAAGGACCAATCACAGAGCCATTATTTTTTCTGGTTTTATGTTCAATATCAACTTCAGATAACATTTCGTTCAGACATGAGAGCAGGGAAGAGAGATGCAATCACCTTAGTGCACTCTTTGGGCTAATCAAAAAGGCCCAACGTTTTCAAGGAAATTATTTGTTTATATAAATGCAGCAATTCATGACATTAATAATGGCAGTAATGGTTCACTGTTTAAATTAACATGAGTCCAGTTATTGTCCTTTTCAGAAAAAGAAACAGAAGGATATCCTCTTTTCATGCAAGAAAGTTACAAGCCATCATACACAAATGGCTAGTGAAAATCAGGCCCATGGCGTAAGGATTAGACACTAATCATAATGCCACCAAAATAAAAGGAGAGCTAAGAAGTCTTTAAGAATCATCTTACAAAAATAGATACACTAAAATTTACTAGCTGTAAAGCTACATTTCCAAGCCCTATAAAAAGGCAATCTTTGAAAGGATCTGGCTCAGATGCTCAGAATCGGCACAGTACAAATATTAAAAATGAACACAGAATGTAAGGTATTTCACAAGCGCTTTAAAGGGGCTATTGCAGCTGGCTGTTGTGTAGCAATGATTAATATTGCATAGCTGAAAAATGAGGTCACTTGACTTGCATTAATCCAGCAAGTTTATACACATGAGTGACATATACTATTTGCCAGTGATAAGTGGCTCTTAGCTGAGATCAAGCCAGTTATAAGTGCCTTGGTCGTTTATTGACAGCCAGTACACTCTATGGTTTGGTAATTTTTCCATGAGATGCAGGAAGAGAAGTGCCATTTTAGAATACAGTAAGGCCAGGTTAGCACAAATATAACCTTATGCCTGCCCAAGGTAAAATATGACTGGCATTTAGCTTTGGTGGTGTAATGAGCACCATCAAATTGATACTTCATCTGCATATAGGGCATCTGTAACATCTGCTTTAGCAAATGTGTATGGCCTCTTAGCACTTAATCGATTCAGCAGGTAATATCAGGAAGCATGGAGGGATTTCATGGCATATATAAATAGATTGAGCAATCTAATGCATTCTCCATACAGAAGTCACTAGATGCTTTTCCCACCTTTTACATGATCCATTTTAGCAACAATGAGATTAATGGCAGAATCCCCTACATGTTTATTCATCAGAAGATCTCACAGGGCTTACTCCAAAATAGATAGGTGTATAACTGCAGTTAGGGGAGCTTAGTGGGTGAAATACAAGTGTCCATCTGTCACTAGAACAGATATCCCTGCTGGAATTGGGTTTTCCCTTTCCATTGTGGATTCCTATGCACTCTCAAAAAATGTTATGTAATCCTCTGTGGGGGGAAAATGCAGGAGAGGGATTCAGGCGAAGGAGAGGAAGAGGAAGTCTTGACACTTGGGCAGAAGCCCACTTGCAGAGAGCTGGATGTCACACACAACAATCCTACAGATCATGGATTGGTAGCTAGGGTTCTTCCAATGTTATTAGACTGTAACTCCCATATTCCCTCACCATTATTAGCTATGCTGAATTGAGGATGATGGAGGTTCCAGCTCAACAATTTCTGGAAAACCAAGAGTTGCACGTGTGTGCTATAAAAAATTCCCCATAAATATTTCTAACTGAAATTTGTCATAAAATAAAAGTAGCAAAATAAATCTAAATATTAGAGCTGTTATTAAAGACTGGGGACTATATATATAGATCAGCACTCTAAATCAAGAAAGTATCATGCCTCATCTTCAGCTCTGAAAGTAATTCCTTGGTAGCACTGGCAAGAGGCAAAAAATACATTTAGAAATTGCTGTGTGCATCTTAAAAGATGCATACAAATACTGACCAGGCAACAACCAGGGTGCAGCTTACATGCATTTAAAAGAGATATTGCAATTCCTCTATATGCATTCTTAAAGGGTAGTTTGATACTACATGTGTCTGTGCCAGAGTACAAATGCATCATAAGACGAAGCGCTGGGATTTCAAGGAAAATGTTTTGTTCTTTAAGAATTACTGGATGAAAGCCCTTGTTAGAGAAAATCCCGTCTTACATTTGCAACACTGGTCAAAAATCAGGTTTTTTTCTGCTTCACTGCTGATAATTGACAAATGTTTTGAGTACTAGAAAATGTGTCTGACTGTATAAGAAAGAAATTAAGTGCTCTTCCTTAATATTTACATAGTAAGAGCATGAGCAAGGAAGGGGTGATTATTTTCCTAATAATTTTAAACCTTTTTGTTGGTATTATATATATGCCAGAATAATTGGAAATCAACATATAAACTTTCTAGACAAATATGCTCAGTCTGATTATGGTTTGGAATAAGAATGAAACTAGGAGGATTTTAGATATGCATCAAACCATTTAGATGAATTTGGCTTTCCTATATTTAAACATGTTTATTTTTTGTCCTCCTCATCCTCCTCCTTTCTTTGGAAAATAAATGCTTACAACTTCAAGGAATGGCTCTGCACAGCTATAAAAACAAGAATATAGAAAATATTTAAAACTGTATCCATGAAGAGAAATAGCTGGAAGAATTAGAAGATTGTGGAATGGAAACATTAAGACACTTGTAGGTTAGAAATACCATCAAATTGATTATGTTTGGCCAAATGAATGAGCGGCATGTTGGAGGGATATAGGAACCCAGCCTGTCCTAATCTAAATATAGTTAGGATTTACTGGGGGGGGGGGGGGGGGGGGTTCCAGGAGTTACCGAGTTGGCAGTTCTCTTTTGCACCGGAAGGCTTGGTCAGAAGTCTCTCAACTCTTACACATGGCAATGTCATCAATACATGCCACATTCTAGATGGTTCTGCCTGATGTGGCTTTCAGAGCCTGACTGGAAACTTAAATTAACTACTGAATTCCAAGTTTCCCTGGAATCTGGTGGCAATCAGAGTTTGGTTATTTCAAAATGCAAATTTCACTGTATGTAAATATCCTTGAAAAAGTGGTGTGGGTTCAGCTTGAACTTTCAGTGACTGGTAAAAGCCAAAAAAAAAAATCATTATCAATTTATCACCCTGAACCCCATTTTAAAGGTCAGCCTTAAGCAGACATCATTTTGAAATGGCAATAAGCTCCTAAACACTACACTAGTGATATTACTAGTCTTTGGGTAGATGAAGTGTAATTTCCCCCCGGGAAAGACAGTGCGTGGCTCATTTGATTATAGAAGAGATTTGTTGAATGCAGTTCAATGACTAGGATAGAAATCATACAAATGCATACCTCCAATGCCCAAAAGTATGTATATATAGTAGTCAACTAGCATATGTACACATTATGAAGACAAAGATGCTATATTGAGCCAGGATTCCCAGTCTATTGTCCTTTGGTTTCAGGGCTGGTTCTCAGTAGTAAATTTGTCCAACTGGGGTTAAGTAAGTAGATAGAAAATGCATGGTAGAACAGATAGCGTTTGTCCATGTTCAGTAGTGAAGTACTCCAAGTCAAATGGCAAAGAGAAATACTTCGTTTCTCTTGGGGTGATCACTTCAAATTCAGTCCTAGCTGTACATAAAACAGCTGACTGCACACACGCACACACAAAAACCCAAGCAACATGTCATTTTTCAAGCATGTTCATAGCAGGGTTTTCACATGTCTGCAATGCTCACTGCCAAGCAGAGGTCAACAGTCCTGGTATATCGTTGTCATGCTGGGAGGGCAATACTTGTGTGGCAGTTAAGTGTTAGATTATCAGCATTTTCCAATCTCCACCAAACTAGATAGATGGTACTTTTTTTCTTATGCACTCACATCAATGTGTGTCACAATGGTTTATGGATCACAGCTACACCTACAAGAGAGAGAGAGAAAAAGAGAGAAAAGGCATTCAACACATTCCATCCAACTAAACTCCAGGGAGAGTTACAAGGTCCAAGGTCCTAAGATTGCTAGTCACTTTTCAGGGACCAGGAGCATACTCTTTTATCATAGGGGGAAAAAACATGTTCTAGCTTGCAAAACTTTTTGTGGACTGCACCTTATTCAATCATAAAGCACTGTCTGCACCTTCTATATTTTAAGTCCACCACATTCCTTACTTTCCACAAGGCATCTAAATGTCTGCCATCTGAAGCAACAATACACTCATTTGACTAAGTACACTACTTTCCAAAAAAGGTTATGTCAGGATGCCAACTCCAGCCATGTAAAAAGGACAAATTGGTCAACCTGACATGGAATGTCAGAAGGAGGGAAAGATTGAGCTGATAAGACCAGCTGGCCTTTGTTATGAGAACTGAGGGAGGTTGGAGGGGGATGTGTGGGCATGAGACTATATAACCCACTATTCTGTCTGCCTCAGCAGAACTGTCTTTCTTATGCTCTGGTAAAAGGTAAATTAAGTTAAGTTTCCAGTGTCTATGCACTATTAATTGTTTTTATTCCTAGAAGTTCCAGAACCTGACATTAAGACAATTCTTTTGTACCAACTCCCTTCCCATTCACATACAATGAGGGCAAACAGAAATGTGTTGGAAGCAGGAGTGGCGGCTCCAGACCTGAGCCTCAGTGAGGCACAGGTCGTAGATATCTGCCGAGTGGGAAGTTAAGCCGAGGAGTGTTGATGGTGGTTTTGCCTATGACTTCCACTCAAGTTCCTCGAGACAGGGGAGTGACTCCGTGCAGAAGCAACCCCTGATGACCGGAGGAGGGGCTGTTGGGGATGTACCGCCAGGAACTTGACATTTAGAACAAAAAGTGGATACCATGGAAAAAAAATTGCAGACCTTCTCGTTCCAATTGAGTGAAATGAGGAGGGAGGTGACAACCTTCTGGAGGACTCTAACGGAGGAGCGTGATCACCGCCTTTAATTAAAGATTTGTTGGCTCATTTGGGAAAGACCAAGTTGTTTACCAAACTGGATATTCAAGAATATAGAATATGCATAAAAGAGGGAGATGAATGGAAAACAGCATTTAATTGTCCTCTGGGATCATTCCAATATAAAGTGATTCAATTTGATATAAAAGGGTGCTATAAGTATTTATTAAATACATTAATGAAATCTTCCATCTGTGTCTATACAAGGAGATTCTTATTTACTTTGATGTCACTCTGATTTTTTTTTTCGAACTCCCTATAAGAACATACCAAATTGGCGTGTCAAGTGTTTGGCAAGCTGCGGGAGCGCAGCTCTACACCAAATTGTCTAAATGCAAGTTTCATAAAGAGGAATTAGACTACATGGGCTTCCACATTTCTCCCTAAGGGATAAGCATGGACCCCAACAAAATAAAAGATGTGCTAGACTGGGAAACTCTTCAAACAAGGCAGCAGCTCCAGGGGTTCCTGGGCTTTGCCAACTTCTACCAGCAATTTATTAAAAACTTTGTGCAGATTGCATTGCTGTTGATGGAACTGTTAAAAACAAAGGAGAGGAGAAACCAAAAAAGTTCAAACCCTTAGGGCTCACTTGGAGTGGATGGCAGCATGCCAACAGGCCTTTGATCATCTTAAAAAACTTTTTACTACCCAGCCGGTATTAGCTCATGCTCAGATAGATCACCCCTTTGTGATCCATTGTGATGCTTCCAAAGGGGCCTACAGAGTGGTATTGCTGCAAAAGGATGAGGAGGAGAAGCTGAGGCCATGTGTCTACCTCTTAAAAAAGTTCTCAGAAACTGAAAAGAGACAGCAAGTTTGGGAAAAGGAGTCCTTTGATGTTCGAGCCACATTCTTAAATTGGTGCAACTTTCTGGTGGGGGCGAAAATGCCTTTAGAAGTTTGGACTGATCATAAAAATCTTCAAGCCCTACAGATGCCACAGAAATTAACTGCTAAACATCTCCAATGGACCCAATTTTTTAGTCAATTCAACTTCACCTAACACTTCTTTCCTGGCAAATTACATTCGTTGGCAGATGCCCTATCTCACATGCCCCAGACCGATTACACTGCACAAAGAGAAATGGGGATGATGTTCACCAAACCCCAAATGGGATTAGTAGTGCAGACAAGGGCACAGACCAAGGTTCTGAAGGGAGGGCCACCCAACCCTGGGTTACTGCAAGACAATTGGATTACAAATTTTAAGTGAGGTTGCCAAAGACACTTGGCTATTAGAAAATAAAAGCGATTCGATTGAATATGATTGATTATGGTTTAAGGATAACAAGTGTTATGTTCCCAATGCGTTGAGGGAATGGGTGCTTTACTGGTCCCATGACTATCACCTTGCCGGTCATTCTGGATTTACAAAGACTCTACAGTTAATTAATAGACCATTTTGGTGGCCGGGGGTGTGCAAGGACATTAAAGACTAATTCAAGACTGCACAGTTTGTGCAGAGGCTAAACAGAAAGTAGGAAAGCCTGTGGGTTTACTACAGCTGGTCGCCAAACCGGTCAAGACATGGAAACAGATGGCCATGGATTTTATCGTGAACCTCCCACACTACAAGGGCAAATGAAACCCCTTTATCTTTACGATGTCACATGATAATATTGTTTTTCTAAGCATAGGTTATTTTACTTGAACAGGAGAAAAAATTTTAACAGTTCCACCTGTTAGATTTCTGCCTGTCACAATGCAGGAAACTTAAGTTGATAATCCTTTCAGAGGTGAGGATTCTGACAGGTCCTTTTAGTAAAGTAATTGGCAACCCTGCCAAAAAGTCATAGTAGGATTTGGAGGAATAAGAAGTCAATTGTTTCAGTTCAGTGCTTACCTGCATAACTTCTTCCAGTGCTCATATTGTTTGGCAATAATGTCCATTTATCTGTGACAGGATTGTAGTATTCTACAGAAGCCAAATTGCAAGAGCCGTCATCTCCTCCAACTACATAGAGAAGACCATTCACTGCACAGACACCTAGGAATAGGAATGTGCTTTTTAAATCCATACAACTTCAGCATTTAGCACTCTGGGCTCTTCAGCCTACCTACAACTATATCTGCACTAAGTATGAATAAATTAAATACTCTAATAATAATAAATAATAATAACTTTATTCTTTAATACCCCAACACCATCTCCTCAAGGGGACTTGGGGCAGTTTACACAGGGACAAGCCCAAATCACAGATAAAAACAACAGCATTAAAATCAATAAATAAAACATAACACAGACACAAACAACATCATAAAAACAATAACATGGCTGAAAACAGAATCAGAGCTGGTTCCAGGCTCAAGTAAGTGTGATAAAATCCTAAGTAGAGCTGAGGGAAAGTGCAAAAGCGTCAGTCTAGAGGGGGTACCTCTGGCCATAAAGTGTCAAGATTAGTGACGGAAGTGCAGGAATTTACAATACTCTTGCATTTTTATTACCAGAAACATCATGTACTTCATGATTCACAGACACTCAAGGGTTGGGTTTATTTGCGTGTTTTTCTGTTTTGTTTTGTTTTTTAAACTGTTTCTTTTCTTTTGACCTGCAGGGAACCACCATTCCCACCGCTGTAGAAAGAAGACATCACAGGCATTCCAGAAAAGTAAACTTGTAGCTAAAAGTAAACCGACTTTCATTCCTAAATGAATGATGAATGAGTTTCCCGCTTTTGGCATTCAATTCGAGATGGATGCAGATACACTGAATGTTTAATTTAATTTTTCATAAGTTATGTAATTATCGCCTATTTAGAATGTTATAGAAAAAAACCAAGAGGTGACAGAGAGAGTTGCAAAGGAAACAACAGCTGGAAGTACACACAATGCAAAATTCTCATATCTCAGGCGAGTAAAGCAATTACCTTAACATCTATCAAGCAATCCTCTTCAGTTTCTATATGTTCTGCTGACAAAACCTATATCACACAAGATTGTATTGCCTGTTTCTATTGTATTTCATTTATGTATGTGACTACTTTTACCATATCTGTCAGGGTGATTTTAAAATACTTGTACCTACTACATAATTAAAACCATTTGCAGTGCAGAGAGAAATGTGTCAAAAAGAAATTTGAGATGCTTGTTATTTTGTTACTTGGGTGGGTGCCCTGCTGCCCACAAAAACTATAGATGCATAAAACATATAAACTCCTACTTGCTTTCTAAGACAACACTTTTTTCCAGACACCTTCAAAATTTGCACATTTACATTCTCCATACAACAAATTTCCTGTACAAGATGCTTTTCTTAAAGCTCCCATATCACAGCTATCCAGCATGCCCAATAATCCAGGAAGATATGAATTGTGATCCAAAAAATCCAGTGCACCAGGCCAGGAGAGAGTTTCTTAAAAGAACAACATTAGGCAATGGAATATTTAACAGCAACTACCTTTTTACTGATATTGTATTTGACTGGTACTGTTTACTGCTTTAAGATACAGCAGTATCTAGCGCTTTGTGTATAACCTTTTCAAAAATACATTTAAATAAATGAAACAGCTACCTGCATTTCTTCGACACATGTTCATGTCAGCTACTTGTTTCCAAGTATTTGTTCCAGGATCATAAACCTCTACACTTTTTCTTACCAAAGGACCATCGTGCCCTCCAGTAGCGTACAACTGCCCACTAAGGACACCAACACCTGTAAAAACACAGCACAGCATTTGTCAGAGGCTCAAAACGCTCTTGCTATGAATTGCTTCAATACCATGGATAAGCAAAGTCCAGTCTACATTCTCTCTCACACACACACACGTGCGCACACACGCGCAAATGCTTTCTGGAAAAGAAATTCAGGTCATGTTTTTGAACACCTCCTCCAGGCCAACTTGGGCCTGCTCATAATAGTCACACCCTTTATTCACTTGCCCATGCTCTTGGCAGAGCAAGTGAATAAGCGTAATAGTAGCACCGCCCTTTTTTCAGCCAAAGGAAGGAATGCAACTATTTCAAAGTTAAATATGCTATGCTTCCAAGTAAACTTATGCCAGTATGTAGCTTCAAGATGCCCTGGATGCTTAAATGTATTTATTTATTTATTTATTTATTTATTTATTTATTTATTTATTTACGACATTTATATGCCGCCCTTCTCACCACGAAGGGGACTCAGAGTGGCTTACAACTAAAATGTAAATACAATATAAATACACTGGAGGCAAGATGGAACTGCCTTCATGGCCCCGCTCTTAACTCTGATCACAGAGCAGCGGCTGGTGCTGGAGGAGAAAAGAGAGAACATACAATGAAATATGTTTAGGAGGACCTGAAGCTCTTGAAATAAAATTAAGAACTGTTCAGAGATGTACACGTGTATATGTGGTGAACCTGTAAAAAGGCCAAAAATTTGCAAGTTGAGTCACTTCCGGGTTGAGAAAGGCGGGATAGAAATATCGTAAATAAATAAATAATAAAATTTTCTGAAAACAAATTCCCAGGGTAATCCAATAAATTCTTAAAACAAGTATCAAATTTGAACCACAACTTCCATTACTAGGACTATTGGACGATCAAATAATAATAAAAAAAGAACATGAGAGAATACTGCAGTATATGTTAACAATGGCAAGAATTTTATATGCTCAAAAGTGGAAAATGACAGAGATACCAACTGGAGAAGATTGCCCAGTCAAGATGTCGGAACTAACAGAAACAAACCAATTAATAATCTTGTTGAAGGATGTGTTATTGGCCACATTCTCAGAAGAATGGAAACTATTTTATCAATATACATTTATGGGAAAGGGAAATACTTTATATACAAGTCTGGAGACATAAAATGTTGGAAATTTCACTTATAAACAATTTGCTGCATATAAAGTGGAAGAAAAAAATCTTAAATGTATAGAGAAATCAACATAAGAGAAGCTGGAAATCTATTTTAAAACTAATTTATATATATGTTGGTAGTTTTAGAGTTATAGGTATGTTTGTTGAGCAATCGTTGTCAAAGCATGTCTGATTATATACTCTTCTGTGTTTTTATTGCCAAAAATCATAATTAAATATATTGAGAAAGATAAAAATGTACACATGTGCATGCAGGTGTACATGGTGGAAGACAATTTCGAATAGAGTACCTGCACCGCTGCGCCGAGTACTCATATCTGACACGTAAGCCCACTCATTTGTAGCTGGATTGTACTGTTCTACCGTACTAAGGCACTGACGTGATGCCCCATCGTAGCCACCAACGGCATATAGTTTCCCTGGAAAAATGAATATGTAATACTATCAATAGGAGGTATTAAAAGGGTGTAAATGCAAAGTAGAATTATTAATACTCTCCAACCACATTTCATCACTGCTAATTTGTATCTCATAATTAAAATAATAAACCTGCAACAGGTGTGAAAGCTGGACCATAGGGAAGGCTGAGCCAAGGAAGATAGATGCTTTTGAACGGTGGTGCTGGAAGAAAGTTCTGAGAGTGCCTTGGACTGCGAGAAGATGCAACCAGTCCATCTTCCAGGAAATAAAGCCCGACTGCTCATTGGAGGGAAGGATATTAGAGACAAAGTTGAAGTACTTTGGCCACATCATGAGGAGACAGGAAAGGTTAGAGAAGACCATTATGCTGGGGAAAATGGAAGGAAAAAGGAAGAGGGGCCGACCAAGGGCAAGATGTATGGGTGGTATCCTTGAAGTGACTGGTTGACTCTGAAGGAGCTGGGGGTGGTAACGGCCGACAGGGAGCTCTGGCGTGGGCTGGTCCATGACGTCACGAAGAGTCAGAAACGACTGAACGAATGAACAACAACATAAAATGCAGAGCCAATAAAGCGTTCCAACATGCTTGCAAAATAGGAAGCTCTTAAGAGATTTCAGTTTTCACGTTATTATAAAATGAGCAAGAAGTAATGGTTGCTTACCTGTAACCGTGTTCCTTCGAGTGGTCATCTCTGAAATTTGCACTTATGGTGGTTTCCTGCAACTGTGCAGTAACTTCAGAATCTTCTGGAAAGCCTTAGCTCTTTAAGGCTATATATCCCCACCTGAATTCCCCAGAGGTATATAGCCAGAGGGAGAGGCTGTAGCCTCAGTTCTTCACTGCCTATAGCAGACAAAGGACCCGGGCATGACTGGAAAGAGGGAGAACAGGCAAAGATGTGCGAATTTCACAGATGCCCCCTCGAAAAAACGTGGTTACAGATAAGCAACCATTACTACTTCTTCATGTTCTCTGTGAAAATCACACATATGGTAGAGTGGCAAGCTACTGACCATGGACGGTGGCTGTCATGCCAACGATGATAGCAGGACTGCTCTCCCGAAACCCAAATCCCTCCTGGAAGCCACATCCATCTTATAATGCATGACAAACTTAAGTGGGGTGTACCATATGGCCGCCCTGCAGATCTTTTGAAGAGGAATGCCTCTCAAGAAGGCTGTTGATGTGGCCATTGCTCTTGTAGAAGGGCTCTTGACGTGTGCCGGAAGGCCCCAGCCTGCAAGCTGATAGGCCAACCCGATCGTGGAGACAATCCACGAAGAGAACCTCTGCGATGAATCCAGAAGGCCCATGGAGTCATTCTTATATTTCAAAAATAATCTAGGAGATTATTATTATTATTATTATTATTATTATTTAAAACATTTCTATTCCGCTCTTCTCACCCCAAAGGGGACTCAGAGCGGAGCACAGCATACACATACGGCAAACATTCAATGCCTGGATACAATACATAAACATTAAAAAACAATTATCAAAATATTAAAATACACCATTTAAAATAACACCATTTAATCTCCTATGCTCTTTTGTCTTGTGAACATAAAAGGTCAGAGCCCTTTTATGTTCCAACAAGTGGAGTGAACGCTCCAAGATGAAGGATTAATTTTGAAAAGTATGGATAAAATCGGTTCCTGCAAAATATGAAACTTAGAAGCCACCTTTGGGAGAAAAGAAATGTCCGTCCAGAGAACCACCTTGTCCATATGAAACTGGGCATAAGGTTCGTCAACCTGAAATGCACATAGCTCACTGGCTGCCCAAGCTGAAGAAATGCTGTCTTCCAAGATAGGTAAGAGAATGGACAGATGCCAATGGTTCAAATGGAGGTTTAGTGAGAGCCGACAAAACAAAGTCCAGCCTTGCAGAAATAATTTTATGAGGGGATCAACAAAACAAGATGCCAACCCAGCTCTCCTTCTATAGGAAGAAATTGCAGCCAGACAAACCTTTAAAGTGTTGGAGAGAGATACTGAGAAGTCTATGATAAGTGAGGTCGAGGCTGTCAGTAGATCCATCTCTGTTGGCCTAAGCAAAGTAGGAAAACAATTCCATATGCTACTTTAGGAACGTTTTGTGGATGCCCTGCGTATGGTATCAAGTATTGGCTCTGAAAGGGGGCTGGTCAGACCCCTATGCTGTCGGGTGGAGCTGCCAAACGCCCGTGTGGAGAACTCACTCCTGCGGGGATGTTAGCAGGTTGGATCTGAGATGGAGATGAACATAATTCCTTCTGGAGAGGTGCAGGAGGGGAGCAAACCACAGCTGCCAGGGCCACAATGGGGTGATGATGATACAGTTGGCATTGTCAGCCTGTACTTGGATATTACAGTAGGGGAACTGGTGGGAAGAGATAGAGGTGGGCTTGGTGCCAGCTGAAACAAAATGTATCTCCCAAACATCCAAGATGGAGATCTTGTGGGAGGTGAGCACAATACAGTGGGCACTTTGCAGTTTCTGGTGATGTGGACACATCCATTTTGGGACTGCCCTGCCTTGGGAGACTATCATAAGTGAAAGATGGCCAGGACGGGTTCGTGGAACCCGGGGACCCCATAAGTGGTTGCCAGTCCTGAAAGATGGATGCTTTCTCGGGCCTTGCTTGAGTAGAGTGGCTTGATACTGAGCTCGGTTGAGAAGCCCATTCCAGCATCGCCTGCAGGCAAGCGGGGTGTGGTGCCTCAATGGGTGTGAGCAAAGCAGAGCACTGTGCCATCCCTGCGGTTATCTGCCCTGGCAACTGCAACCCCCAATATGGGGGGGGGGGGCATGGCCAGGTGACATTACACTGGCATGTCGCTTCCATCGAGGGAAGGAGTGCCACAGCGCCCAAACCCTCCTGTGTGAAAAACCTCTCATGTGGCTCCCACTCCTCTCCTGGCAGTGTGAGCACTGGGGAGGGAGGATGGCCTTCAGCCATGGTGATGGGAGGCGATGAACAAACACGCCTAGAGGCGGCAAGAGGTGTTTTCTTTTTTGTGTTTGTCTGGTGCACTTGTTAGTGGCTCCCTAAGGAGGTCAACTTTGAGTGTTTCACCATTGGTCCCACTGCAGCCGGCGAGGAGGGGACATTGTCTTTCAAAGGTAAGTGGGCTTCTTTTTTATTTTTTGTTACTATTTGTATCCCCTTTCTCTACCCCAAAGGGGACTCAAGGTGGCTTTACATATGGCAACTATTCATACTGTTAGCCAGAAGAGGGTGGCGGCTCTGACATAGCCTACATCCTGGGGAAAAGAGACTGCTCATAGAGCATGGCCTCAAGCAGCCTTCCGCGGTTCTTTCTGGCCTGGAGTGTAAAAGAACGGCAAACTTTGCAAGACTTCACCCTGTGCCCCTCCACCAGACATAACAAATACATTGTATGGTCATCAGTGCCTGGCAGCTTAGTACCAAAGGATTCACATTTCTTGAAAGCTGAAGTGGACATAACTGGCCTAAGTTAGAGTTGTCAGTCACAGTCCGGGTCAAGAATCCGTAGAGAACAGTGAAGAGTAGTCGAGCACTCCAAGGTCAACACCAAATTTTTGCTAGTCAGTATTTTCCCTAAGAATCATAGAATCATAGAATCAAAGAGTTGGAAGAGACCTCATGGGCCATCCAGTCCAACCCCCTGCCAAGAGCAGGAATATTGCATTCAAATCACCCCTGACAAATGGCCATCCAGCCTCTGCTTAAAAGCTTCCAAAGAAGGAGCCTCCACCACACTCCGGGGCAGAGAGTTCCACTGCTGAACGGCTCTCACAGTCAGGAAGTTCTTCCATGTTCAGATGGAATCTCCTCTCTTGTAGTTTGAAGCCATTGTTCTGCGTCCTAGTCTCCAGGAAAGCAGAAAACAAGCTTGCTCCCTCCTCCCTGTGACTTCCTCTCACATATTTATACATGGCTATCATATCTCCTCAGCCTTCTCTTCTTCAGGCTAAACATGCCCAGCTCCTTAAGCCGCTCCTCATAGGGCTTGTTCTCCAGACCCTTGATCATTTTAGTCGCCCTCCTCTGGACACATTCCAGCTTGTCAATATCTCTCTTGAATTGTGGTGCCCAGAACTGGACACAATATTCCAGATGTGGTCTAACCGAAACAGAATAGAGGGGTAGCATTACTTCCTTAGATCTAGACACTATGCTTGCTGCTAAGGCGGCGGACAAAGGGAACTGAGGCTACAGCCCCTACCTCTGGCTATATACCTCTTGGGAGTACAGGCAGGGCTACAGACTTAAAGAGCTAAAGCTTTCCAGAAAATTCCAAGGGTACTGCAAAGGCACAGGAAACTACAATATGTGTGATTTTTACAGAGACCACAAAGAAGAAGTAAAGAGTCAGTGAAACTGTGATCCCCTGGTAAAATCTGGAGTTGGGGTCATATTATGGGCAATATTACATAAACAGAGTTAAGATCACATTTTCTGATGGCACAGAGATAGCAAAGTTTAAAAGCATTGCAGGACCATTCAATACACATCAGTTAATACAAAGTTCAGATCCATCTAGGGCTGGGGCCACATGGGAATGATGTTCCAAATGTAGTCAGTCCTCCACTTTTGCTGAGACTAGGGATGCAGGCCTCATGTGAAAGTGAAAAACCACTATTTAAAAAACTGAGAGAACAACTCTGTACAAATCTTTAGATCTTGCAGCAGAGGTTGACCACAGAGTCATACTGGATGACCTAGACATTCCTAAAGAGACCACATAAATAAAATCCATGAATAATCACATCCACAGAAGTTAAACTTGCATATGTAGACTGCCAACTGTATATCTTATTATATGTTTATTTATAACAGAAAAAACAGTATTTTTGTGGGTGCCATGTATACATGTTCGTAGCTGGCATTGTGTTAGTGACTTATAATGGCCTAGGTCCAACCTGAACCACCGCAAGTCATATATTTGGCAGCTGTGGCTGTATAAATAAAACTACCAACATTACCTTCCCACTTCTACACCCCCTAACATGGTCAAGTACTGGTCAATGGAGAGTGGTTAAGGGAAGCACAGATAAGCATAGTGTTTTGGGGGATGGGGGAGTGGTGACTGGAGATGGGACATAACATTTCTGATGCAGGATCTCACCCATTGTTCAGTCCTTGAGATGGAGTTCCTACTTACATGGTGCACAGAGGTGCATTGCTGCATCTATCATTATCATTATTTCAGTCAAGCTAGAGTGTAAAATCTAAGTGACACCTTCTAACACAGCAGGAAAAAGATTTCCCTCACTGTTAACAGCTCAGAGTGCCATAGCCAGTACTGTGTTTACAGTTCGCAAGGTAGGGATTTATTTACAGAATATCCAATGCAACCTGGCAATTTTAACTCACTCAGCATCATGTCTAAAGTAATGTCTAGAGCTGGAATGTCATATGCTGTTATGACTGAAATGATAGCTTGCCCTTCTTACCTTCCACAACTCCAACTCCAACGCTGCTCCTTCTCGTGTTCATAGGTGCCACAAAAAACCACTCATTGATTTTGTAGTTATAGGCCTCCACAGATGCCAGGCCTATTTTGAAAGCAACATAAAAAGATTTTCCATTTCAACAGCTTAGCAGAGAATAGCTCCTTCCTTGTCAAAGGTGCCATTCTGTTTTTATATTTCCCTTCCAGGTAAAAAGGAAAAGAGCACAAGTTGAGACTAGGCCAGTAGCCAACAAACTTCCTTTCTAGGCATGAGAGGTGTCATAACCTTGTCTGCTGCCCACTATAATGTGCTGACAATGAAAATTTATATCGGGGAACAGCATCTTACTTGTCATCTTTTACACTTACTCAACAACAATGGTTTTACAAGAAGTTCTTTATGAATAATAACTGAAAAAAAGTCAAATGACATTTCTATAGAAGGTTATCTACTGACAAGAAAAGGATCACTGTTCTCGAGTTAAATTAGGTCTCTAATTTAGAGTCTTTAACTCTAGTTAAATTAGGTCGGCTCCACCTATCCTCTCCTTTAGGAAGAAGCACAAATCGTGGTTCTGGGACCAGGCATTTGGGTAGCAGGCTTAATAAATAATCGTAATGATTCGTGAGAACTGATAAGAGACAGGCTTTGGACTCGAATTCTGGATGCTGAACTGGACTTGGATGTGGTTATATTGCTGTTAGAAATGTTTTTAACTGAATGTTTTATAACTTATTATTTTAATTAATGTCAATTTGTGTTACATTGTTTTGATGTATGTACTGGCATCAAATTACTGCCGGATGTAAGCCGCCCTGAGTCCCTTCGAGGGTTGAGAAGGATGGGGTATAAATGTTTGAAATAAATAAATAAATTTCTCTTCAGATAGCAAAGTGGGCCATGATTCTACAAATTAAATTCGTTTTCACCAGATGACAACATCTGCAGCCCTATGATACACAAATAGGCTTTTATGGAGTAGTTTCCAAAGAGAACATGGTCAGTGTGATGATGGCAGACCTTGATAGCAATTAAATTCACTCACAAAGAGATCTTGGAAATTTCATTAATGCTAGGTTACTACTATACAGCAAAGTTGTGAATGAATAAAACGTGAGCAACTTCTCCGTTCAATACCCCTAAACTCTATGTGGGGCTGCCTTTGATACTGCATTTGGTGCAAAGATCGGCAGTCGATGACACCCTTATTAAAGCAGCTCCACTGGCCGCTGATAAATTTCCAATCCCAATCCAAAGTGCAGTTTACTACATAAAAAGCCCTGAACGGCTCGGGTCCTGCCTATCTTTGTGACCGCATCTTCCCATGGCGTGGGCTCTAAGATCTGCCAGTGAGGCCTTCCTCTTGCTCCTGCCATCGTCACAAGCATGGTTGGTGGGGACGAGAGGGAGGACCTTCTTGGTGGTGACCCACTGGCTCTGGAACTCCATTCCCCAGGGAGATTAATTTAGCCCCCACTCTGACCACCTTCCACAGGGACTTGAAAACCTGAGTGTTCCAGTGTGCATTTGAATAACAGTTAGTCCCTGATCATGAATGCTCAGCCCTAATTTACTGATAATGTTTATTCAGCACTTTACCCCCAGCCCTGGCTCTATAGTTTGCCCTGCTCTCTCCAATCTGATCATGCCCACCATCTTTCTAGTTGCTGGTTGTTGAGGTTGATCTGATACATTTTATTATGTTTTATATTCTGCTGGTTTAAATTGTTTTAATTAGATTGTCTATGTCATATTATATGTTACATTTTAATTGTATCTCAGCTTGTAAATTTTGCTGTATGCTGGGCTTGATCCCCATGTAAGCCGCCCCGAGTCCTTCTCGGGAGATGGTGGCGAGGTACAAAAATAAAGTTATCATTATTAGTATTATTATTGGAAGCCCCACCCCCTCAACTCCAAAAAATGTCCTCTGTACAGCCTCCGAGTCTTTCAGTCTGAGTCGGTTGATTTTATCAGGCTCTTTTTCACACAGGGCCAAGGATGCTTTCATTCTGTTTTCATTCATCAACCTTGGCCGTGAACCCAAGGCATTGAGGCATTCTGGTGTCTTGAATACATCAGATACGAGTCCATGACAATCAAAGTCAAGACAGAAAAATATATGTGAAACGAATGCTTCAAACTCAACAGCAAAGTCATTAAATTGAGGGAAACATCTGCAATCCTTGGGAAGAGTTTGAGAACAAAGAACAACATGAACAATGCTTTCCATTAGCCAGTGGGATGGTATAACCCAAGGTTGTATGAAATCCCTAAGATCCCTTTTTGGAGCTACTGAAACTTCCCAAGAGTTCCTAAACACCAACACAAAAAAAATGGAAACTGCTTCAAAATTCTGGTAATCAGTTGCCCTGTCAGAAGAACTGCAAAAAGTGGTAGCTCTTGGGCTAAATCCCAGCACCAGAAGTAACTTGACTTTATTTCTAGTTGTGATGGTGTGGCCCATGGCCCTTCAACAGTTGTGCACTCTTGCTCTAGATTTTTGTTCTGGTACTTACCTGTGCTTCCATCAAATCCCCCAACAGCATAAAGGAGCTCATTTAGCACAGCTGCCCCTAAAGTGCTTCGTCTTTCCTGCATGCTAGCTATCGATGTCCACTGGTCTTTCACTCCATCATATACATCCACTGTTCGGACCCGTAAAGAGCCATTAAAACCTCCCACAGCATAGACTTTGCCTGCCATGAACACCACTCCTGTTAAAAGCAAATTGGAAGAAAGACTTCAGGCAAAGTTCTTCTTTTTTAAAAATCAGATCAGAATATCATGCTGTTACATGAAGACCTGTAAGAAAGAATCCAGCACAGAAAGCTAAAATGACTGAATGTTGTTTAGTGGCCATATCAGACCTCTCGTTAATAAACATTCAATCTTATAACTGTTGACGATGGCATGGATTCTTTATGTTCCACAAATCCAATCTAAGTAAAAAGAAGCTTTCAAATATTATCATCTCTTCATGCATCATATTCAATACAAGGACAGTCTTCACTGAGCATTTCATGCAAAGAAAAATCTATGCTTGCTACCACCATACATACACTCAAAAAAAGGACCTGCACATAGTCACAACCCCTTGCATGGTGCACAAGTATTTCAACATCAGAACTGTTTGCTGACCTGACATTTACGTGTCTATCCTATATGTGAAATGTCTCTCAGTGGCTGTTAAAATACATGCTGTGATCAACAGACATTGCTTGTTAGGACCGAATATCTAAATTATATCTCTTATACTTTGTTGTTGTGTTTTGTAATGTAAACATAACAATTGCAATCCCTGTGGTTAGTTATGCCAACACAGCATGCCACCATAGCGACTTTCTTTAGACACTGAAGGAGACATCTAGTTCCTGCTTCCACAGTGTTTCCTCTCCAGGTACACAATGGCAGCTGGATAGAGTGCGGATGCAGTTCATGGGATTGCCATAAGTTGAGAGGCAATATCCATATCCACACAGATTAAAGGCAGCACAAATAATATTTAGAATTCTCATTGATTCCATTCAGAAAGTGAAAGTTTTACCTGCCCTACATCTCCGGGAAGGAAGTTCAGCAACTTGATCCCATCGTTCCTCTTCAAAGTCATAACACTCTACACTCCGAATGGCTTTGGGTGCTTGCCCACCCACAACAATCATTACCTTGGGAGAGAGGGAAAAGAGCTCCAGGATAAAAAAGGATACTATGTTTGATCAGAATATTTTCAACATCAAACAGAAACTTGAAAAACCAAAATCCTTGATCTTATTGAGAGCCTCAGATGGTAAAAGAGAATCCTCAGCAGAAAAGCATGGTGGGGGTGGGAAACCCCATTAATACATTGCATTTCAGAAGCATGAAAATTAAGCATCTGCACAATATTAATAAACTTCGAAAGATTGCCAGGGAATTATTGGCAAAAACACTGATTATAGCCTTTGGACAAAGCCGATGCACTCTTGACTTTCACAGATTAGCTAACTTGCTTTGCAAAAGGTAATTAGCTGAGACCCCCAAAGAGCTGCATTTTAATAAAGGGGGGGCGGGGCGGAATGTGACAGCAGCCTAACAGGATTTAGACACAGTGAAGGTGCTTAACATCACAAGGGACCAGTTTTAACACAGAAATATTAGAATAACACCAAGATTATGAAAAGAAAATTAGTTCAAGAGGCATTTAATTGTCTTCTATTTGTTTATAATCCTTTCACATCTATGTAAAGCTAGCTAGATATTCAAAAAAGACTCAAGAATTTGTGTATGCTTAGAGGCACCATATTCTTTTACAGGTTTGTTTCTTGGGCTTCTACTACTCATGGGCCCAAAATTTGTCCCATTCATTTCCTTCTTGTTTACGTTTCATTCCATCCATTCTGATGGCAGGAAACGGAAAGGCACTCCTGAAACAAAAATGCAATCAACATGAAAGGCAGGCGGGCCTGCCTTTTGGATGGATTGCATGGGGCCTGGCAGGGCCTGCAGCCAAGCGCTGAGTAAGGAGTGATCCTTACTAGGTGCTCTGCTGCAGGCCCTGCCGGGCCCAGGTACGTTGGCCCAAAGCCTGCACCCGTAGGCCCAGGTGCTCTGGGCCTACAGGTGAAGCCCCCCACCCCTACAAATAATGAATGTGAAAACCAAACAAAAAAACCAAATATCTGGCCTCCTGATTTCAGTAGGTTCAGACGAAAACGAATCGGAACCCCCACCGAAAGCTGAACACGAAACAGATCAAAGTAAGTCCCAAATATACAAGTCAAGCTTCTACCAAATGGTGATGTTCATGTACACACCTTAATCAATATATGGAATTTATAGAGGCAAGGTTAATGAGTAATTAACCCCCCTTTTGCTTCCTTTGCACCATTCAAGTGACTTATAAAGCTTCTGATTACTATGAGTTTTCCGCTTCTTTCCAGTGACACAAAACCATGTATTTGGCACACAGTCAGATTTCAGTAGATTTTGAACATCCATGATAGAAAATCACTTAAACGGGAAAATCCTTTGCTGGAATATGAGAAGACAAGATTTCTTCAACCATAAAAAACTGCTTTCAGTATACACTGAAAAAAACTGCACTGGTGGACTATCAAGTAAAAATACTTTGCCTAAATATTGTAAGAAGGTGTTTAGCTTACCTTTGGCAGACTAACTGGTGTTCTTGGTTTTGTTCTAGGATTCTTTATCAGCTGTCTCTGATCCAGTGGAAGTAAGTGGTATTTCATGGCCTCAATAAGAAAGTCTTTACATGTGTTGTTATTCTTAATTAAAGCTTCTTCTTCAACTGTCTGAAAACGTCAGCAAAGGTTAATGCACGGGGTCAGGGACAGGGAAATATCACAATCTCCTTGTTAGAACTGTCATTAATTATTTTGGTGTAGCAATACTAATACTTGTTTCACAGTAATTTTTGAGGCTGCATTTCAGTAGAAATTTGTGCATTTTCCACAAACTGTCTCCAGTCTAGTGCTTCAAACATTCTGAGATCTAGTCACAAGACAAGAACAAACCAATTACAGAGATACACACAGTTCCTTTTCCAAGTGGGGAAAACATTGGCTTGTGTGGTCAGCTGTCTATCTTAACCACAACCTTTTGTGCTTTAAGTTCCAAGCTGTAATCAAAATGGGTGCTGTTAGTTTTCCGAGCTGTAGGGCCATGTTCCAGAAGCATTGTCTCTTGATGTTTCGTCCACATCTATGGCAGGCATCCTCAGAGGTTATGAGGTCTGTTGGAAACTAGGCAAGTGAGCTTTATATATCTGTGGAATGTCCGTGGTGGGAGAAAGAACTCTTGTCTGTTTGAGGGAGGTGTAAACACCAACCAAAAATGGATTCCTCCAGGCAGGAAACAGCCAGGTTTTGAAGCTGCAAGGCTATTCAATGCTAATCAAGGTGGCCAATTGCCAACATTCACACTTGCCTCAAATGGACAAGAGTTCTTTCTCCCACTCTGGCAATTCCACAGATATATAAAACTCATTTTGACTAGTTTCCAACAGACCTCACAACCTATGAGGTTGTGGACAGATGTGGGCAAAGTGTTTGTATACTTCCAGAATCAATACAGAAATAGACATCCCCACATGTTTTTTTAGCCATTATAATGCCAATCCAAGAGTAAAAATGATGTACAATATAAGCCCATTAAAGATGCAGTTCTCAGATTCCTGTATAAGGATTCAAAACAGACAGACTGATATGATATTGTCATTTTAGATAATTTTATCCTCTTTCCTCTCTACCTAAACTTTCAATGGGAGACCAGTCTCAAATTATTTCATAGGAGGTAAACTGAATGGACCACACACTCTCATCCCCAGAAAAAAAAATTGGAGTATATGTTAACCTTAGCGTCACCAAGTCAGAAACAACTTGGAGGCACATAACAACAACATAAAAAGGCTACTCTTAATAAGCACATGGTACTGAGAGAACTGGCAAGCCACAAATTAGCGACCCAAACTTATATAACTTTAAAACCAATCCTATACAAAATACAGACCTGTACAAGATAATCTCTGGGCAAGAGAGGGAGTCGGACATGTTCCATCAGCTTTGCCATGTGTTCCAGGCGGGACTCTTTTTCATAATTTATCCAAGAAATGACAGCTTCAAAAACCTTAAACAAAGAGAAACACATCTCTCTAAAGAAGCAGATATATCAAACACTGTCATGCACAGTCGCACAAACACATAGAACTGTATAAAGTCCAACTTTGGAAGCTGAGATTTGATAAGGTATGCTACAAAAGCATTTTTTTTTTATTTAACCACTTCTTTGGCACTTAAGATTTCCTACTTTTTTCTCTGTCTCCCCTCCCACAAAAAACCCAACAACAATTAGTTTGGCTTTCTTTTCTAAATCTATTTCATATTAGCTTTATCTTATTTCATGCCTAGCCACCTTTAGGCCCAGAAAAGGGAGCGGGGGGAGGGGGGGAGAGAGCGAAAGTAGGGTACAAATACAATAAATAAATTTAAAAGGAGTTAAAAATAAGGATAAAAACTGGTGTGTTTATCTCAATTGTGCGCTGGATAGAAATATAGAACGGTATGTCCAAATGCCATGTCACTAGGCCCTCTTTCAGACGTCAAATGATGCAAAGAAAATTCAAGCCAGAACATCAGAGTTGTGTGTTTTGTGAACAATGCACTATAATAAATGTAAATTATAATCAAAGGGTTTAGCACCCTGGAACTAATTCAACAAAACTCCCACCCTGGTTCCATCACTGGCATAATCATATAAAGCATGGCAGGGAGAGATCCAATTTAATTTGTATGCCTTCCACTCTTTTTTCTTGGCAGGCTTTGGATAATGTTGAAGCTAGCTAAAAGAAGAGAGATGCATCACGTGAGGATACAGGAGTCCACAGAGTACAGAGGCAGGGAACGAACACATTTAAAAAATGGAAAGATTTTGGGACTTTTATGACAGCAAGAAAGGTGTACATTAGCCAATGATATTGCTTCTAAACCACATTTTCTGCTTATAGGTGGCCACATTTTCCACATAACTCTAAGGATGGTTTTGCACTAGTTCAAGATAAGATATATTCTATATTGCACATGATCTATCATAAATAATACCATCTACTATGATATTGAAGGCAACTTTTCTTTATGAATCAAGGATCCTATTTTATTTAAAGTAAAAAAGATATTCCTGCATCCCATGCTAACACACCAGAATCTAAAGAGAATAGGAGCTCCGAGTAACAAGTTTCTACACTCTATTATATAGTTTATCAAGGTTGCCAAGTCACTACTGAAAGTGCATGTGTTGGGAAAATTCTACCAAGCTAACAACACACTTAACGTTTTAACTATAGCCTAGGCATCAGTTGGCCATATACAGCCTCCTTTGTCTTTCTTCTCCAGTCTTTGCAACATACCCAGTCCCTTGGCCTACTAGGGAACTAAAAATATAATGCAACCTTCACAGTGCCAGCTTATTATTCTGGAGAAAGACCAAGGCCATTCAAAAGCATTTTGCTGGGTAAGCCCAAACACAGCCATATTAATTTCCCAATTCAATATACAAACCCTTTCCCTGATTGGTGTTTTTCCATTATCCTCAGTCTATCATCTCCAGCCATCTCAGCCAATGTTACATTTCTGACAATACAGATATCTAATCTTATGAACATACACAATGCTCATATTAAATGCTGTTCCTCCAAAGATCACCAAATACCCAAGAATATATTTGGCTTGGTAATGTTTAATACCCTTCCTAAAAAATATTTAATTTATCCCAAGGTAATAATTACTCCCCAAGAAAGGAGCTGCTTCAGTTATCAACTGGAATGGAATGCATGACCTGCATGAGATAAAGACTAAAACAACTATATCATTGAGATATATGTATATGCTTATACTTTAAAAAAACATGTCATTTGATCAGGGCAAATTAGTGACAGGACATTAAATGTAAATTGACATCAATAAAAGGTTAATTAAGTGATCATCTAACTATGTCTAACATTGTGATATTTGATCCCTGTGTCTTTTCTTTCCAGCTTCGATTCACAGGTAATCCTCTTTGCAATATGCAAGTAACTTCCGCTTCTACGTGCAAAGCATTTCAAACTGCAATCTTCTTGTGCTACAGTAGTCAAAACCTTGTTGGGATGACTGGTACTATATTAATTTAATGCAATTTCACTCTCTCCATCCCAGAAAAAAAACTGTGAAAGGGTTGTCTTTGAGTCACCATAAGTAAAGGAAAAAAAACTTGGAAGGTACACAGCGACAACAACCTCTATGAAGTAGCATCCTGCCTTACAATTATTATTATTAACTTTATTTGTACCCCGCTAGCATCTCCCGAAGGACTCGATGCGGCTTACACAGGCCGAAGCCTCAGAACACAATACAGTAGAAACATAACACAACAATAAACAAAGCAAATCAAATAATTAAGCAAAATAATGCTTTCATTATTATGGTTTCTTTGTAAATTTTGCATTTGTATGATTTTTGGCCATTCCATGAAGATAAATAATGTCTCTTGTATGTGTGCATAATTTGTTTTATCTAATTAAGCGAATTAATGAATAATTCTACTAAACAGATTGATTAACTGTACAAATACATTAAATTTCATTTTAAATAATTACTTTACTGTCTTTTATTGGACACAAGTTAAACTAAAAGCAATAAGCCTGTTCTGCAACTGAACGTCTGAATTACCTGGGTAGGAAACTACCTGCAAGGCACATATACATCTCTTTGACCTCTTAAAAAGTTGCAGAGAAGAGTAATAAATAATGCAAGGTATTACTGTGTTTTACAGTATTCCCACATTCAGAGTTTGAGGGCCCAAAGCCAAGCATTCCCTCTCCTTCGAGTAGGCCCTCAGGGACTCATCTAATTATGAGGGTTGTGTTCCATGCAATGCTCCAAATAAAGGCTGGAGGCAAACTTAGAATTTCCCACAATGCCCCAAAATGGCATTATCTTGGAATCTGAATGGCTAAATTCTAATGCCTACTGCTGCTCAAAGTACCAGGTGTGTGAAGGGACAAGGATGGGGACGGGGATTAAGGGGCACCATTCATTATGTTAGTTTCTGATGCCAATCATGTTAACATGAAACATTACAGACAGAAGGTTCTCAACCTCTGAGGATGCTTGCCATAGATGCAGGCGAAACGTCTGGAGAAATGCCTCTAGAACATGGCTCTATAGCCCGAAAAAACCCACAAGAACCTAGTGATTCCAGCCATGAAAGCCTTCGACAATACATTACAGACAGACATAAACACAACCTAGACCAAGGTGAATATATTCTGTAGCCCAGAGGATTGCACTGCCCAATTTTGGGCTACTCTGGAATGTCAGCAAGCAGCAGAGCAGCATCCTGGCCATCACTAGCAGCAACTGAAAGAGATGCGACATTGCATCTATTTGCCTCTCTGGCTGTTGGGAGGTTGGCCACTTCAGGGTGGTATCTGGGGATACCAGAGCCTTTAAGAGCTCACAGGAGTTGCAATAGCCTTTTCAAAAGGCTGGATGCAGCCGTCAACCTGCAAAGTTCTCATCCCTGACCTAGATAATTGTAATAAATTCCATGTGCACACATGTGAGGCCCTATATATTTATCCAACAAATTTATATTTAGACAGGTATACCTTGTTTCGAAATCTCAGCAGAGACAAAAATCTTCCAAACATTAAAGGTTTTAATTCCTGTTTTATGGCTTTTAACAGCAGCCAATGCCATGATGTAATTAAAGCAGTTCAGAAGAAAGTGTGAAAAAATGGAAAAAGATCAAAATTCAGGAGGTACAGGTGATACCAAATTACAAGCAGAAAATAGAGAAAGAAATGCAAAAACAAGGTTGTTGGTTCTTGTGTGTCTTCAAATCATTTCCAACTTGTGGCAGCTCTAAGATGAAGCTATAATGACGTTGGAAAACTTTGTTCAGAGAGGGGTTGCCTTCCTCTGAGGCTGAGTTGACTCAATGAGTTTCCATGGCTGATTCAAACTGATCTCCAGAAGTGTAGTTCAATGCTCAAATCACTTCAGCACCCTGGCTCTAAAGCAAGGTTACTAATGAGCATTAAGAAAATAAAAATGATGGCCATATAATACTTTCATCACCTGAACGTGGATGATGAAATACAAAGTATTTAAAGTATTTATATATATCGGCATCCAAATGTTGCCGAAGAATCTCAATCACTCTTGAAACTGGATACATTTCTCCTCAGCCAGCCTAATTAATTTGTTCATCTGAATTAATTCACAAATCTTTGTCAGCTGTTATCATCATTCTTCATCTTCTGTTCTCTTTTCCATGCATTTGATCCTCCTGTTCTTCCTTTCCCCTTTTATATTTATTGATCTTGTTATAGTATCTATTCATCAGCACTAAAGAGTCAAATCACAAATCTGTCATCTTTCAAAGTTAATCTCCACTTTTATGTGCAGATTTCTCTGACTAGCCATACAGGAATCCTGTTGGTAGATCTTATCAATCTCTTTGTTGAAATCTTTATATAAAACTTCCAGTAAAGTTTTTGTCAATATTTCCGATTGCTTCTCAGTCCCAGATTCCAATTACATCAATTTCTGGTTTTCCCGAGTTAGCTCCCCAGTTAGTTTTTCCAAAGTGTTGAGTATATCTTTCATTTCAGCTGGTAAGTCCTTTCTCATCATCCTCAATTTGTCCAAATTTTGGATTGGTACAGCAATGATCAAGACTATTTCCATTAAGTCACATTAATATCCTGTTTACAGGTATTCAAATGCATCATTTAGTTCAGTGGTGCACAACCTGTAGTCCTTCAGGTGTTTTCGACTTCTGCCCCCAGAATTCCTGACAAGTGGGAAAGCTCTCTAGGACTTCTGACAGTTGATGTCCCAAACATCTGGAGAGCCACGGGTTGTGCACCATTGATCAAGTTTAATAGTACAACCTTAACCTTTGTTCAGTGGGACTTACTCCAAAGAAAGTGTGCATAGGATTTCAACCTAAATGTTCCTGTCCTCCAGTTTTCCGTGTTCTTTTTCTGCAAGTTGCTAAGGCAGGGATAAGGATTCTTTTTTTTTTTCAGGCTTTGTTTATCCAGAAAAAAATCCATCTACAGACTGAGCCAGCTTGTATGTATCTCCCTCCATATATATATCTATATACTGTATATACTCGAGTATAAGCCGACCCAAATGTAAGCCGAGGCACCTAATTTTATCACAAAAAACTAGGAAAACGTATTGACTCAAGTATAAGCCAAGGGTGGGAAATGCATCCACTATGGATCAATTTCAAAATAAAAATAGATACCAATAAAATTACATTAATTGAAGCATCAATAGGCTAAATGTTCCTGAATATTTACATAAAACTGTAATTTAAGATAAGACTGTCCAACTCTTATTAAACCATTATTCTAACCTCCTTCAATATAAATGTATTATTAAAATAATAAAAATACTAGAGTAAAATAATGAAGAAGCAATAAAAACAGTAATAATGGAGTAAAATAATAAATGTAGTAATAACAGGGTAAAATACTGTAAATCTAATAATAATAATAACAACAACAATAATAATAGGGTAAAAAACTGTAAATGTAATAAAAATAATAGAACAAAATAATAAATAGAATAATAATAGAGCAAAATAATGTAAATATAATAAAATTATACTAATAAAAAAGTAAAAGAATAAATAACCTTGACTCGAGTATAAGCCGAGGGGTGCTTTTTCAGTCTAAAAAGGGGGCTGAAAAACTAGGCTTATACTCGAGTATATACAGTATATAAAAATGCTCTGTGCATAATGAGTACCTTAAAAACAAAAGAACCAATGAACGAAATCACACCAAATTTGGCAACAAAATGTCTCACAACACACCACCCAAAAAAATATGATTTTGACCATCACTCAAAAAATCATGATTTTGTCATTTGGGAGTTATAGTTGCTGGGATTTATAGTTCACCTACAATCAAAGAGCATTCTGAACTCCGTCAACAATGGAACTGAACCAAATTTGGCACACAGAACTCCCATGACCAGCAGAAAATACTGAAAGGGTTTGGTGGGCATTGACCTTGAGTTTGGGAGTTGTAGTTCACCAACATCCAGAGAGCACTGTGGACTCAACCAATAATGGATCTGGATCAAACTTGGCACAAGCACTCAATATGCCCAAATATGAACACAAATGGAGTTTGGGGGAAATATACCTCGAGATTTGGGAGTTGTAGTCACTGGGATTCACAGTTCCCCTACAATCAAAGAGCATTCTGAACCCCACAAACAACAGAATTGGGGCAAACTTCCCACACAGAACCCCCATGACCAACAGAAAATACTTAAGGCCATTCAATCCAACTCCCTTCACCAGGGCAAGAAAACATAATCAAAGTCCTCCTGACAAAGAGCCATCCAGCCATAGATATAGATAGATAGATAGATAGATAGATAGATAGATAGATAGATAGATATGATTCACACACACAGAGATATAGTATCATAGATTTGAAAGGGACCCTTAAAGAAGGACAACGATATCTTGCATGTTCCAGAGTAGGCAAACCAGACATTCTCCACATCAACACTAACAAAGAAAAAGCAAGAAATACTGTTTACTCACAAGCATAAAGAAATTACATAGATTAGAAACCAACACTTTCTCATTATTTTATTTTCCAGATCAACAGACTGGGCCACAGCAACGCGTGACAGGGGACAACTAGTATATATATATATATAGAGAGAGAGAGAGAGAGAGAGAGAGAGAGAGAGAATGTATAACTATAGTTAATAATAGTAGTAAATTAAACATTAACATCTTTTTGCATTCTTGTTTGAAGAAGAAGAGCTCGGCCTGTATGATCCTGCCATAGTTGTTGGATTGCAGTTCTCACCAGCCTTAGCAAGTATAGTCAATGATGAAGGATGTTAAGTATAGTCTAACAAGTTCTACAGTTGGCCTTTGCCTTCCTCTCCGTGTCTTCTATGCTTGGATTTATTATTATTATTATTATTATTATTATTATTATTATTATTATTTGCACTTATTGACCGCCACTCTCAGCCCTAGGGCGACTCGTGGCGGTGAACAACAACATAGAAAAGACAGTATACAGTAAATCATGACAATACATACCAAACTACTACTACATAACATATACTAAAAATCCGCTTCGTCAAATCCAGGGGTCACAGTCAATATCGTAGTCAAATCCATTCCAATATCGTACCAATGTTGCACTCAATTGAAGGCCTGCTCGAAGAGCCATGTTTTCAGGCTCCTACGGAAGGCCATCAGGGAGGGCGCCTGTCTAACTTCAGCAGGGAGGGCGTTCCACAGCCGGGGGGCCACCACCGAGAAGGCCCGCTCTCTCGTCCCCGCCAGACGTGCCTGTGAGGCAGGCGGGACCGAGAGAAGGGCCTCCCCGGATGATCTCAAGGCCCTCGTGGGCTGATAGGCCGAGATGCGGTCTGCAAGGTATTTTGGGCCGGAACCGTTTAGGGCTTTGTAGGATAACACCAGCACCTTAAATTGGGCCCGGTAGCAAATCGGCAGCCAGTGGAGCTGGGACAGCAGGGGCGTTGTATGCTCTCTGCGCCCTGCTCCTGTTAACAACATGGCTGCCGCGCGTTGGACTAGCTGAAGCTTCCGGGCCGTCTTCAAGGGCAGCCCCACGTAGAGAGCTACACAAGATAAATGTGCAGATTCTTATTCTCAAAGCAACATTTAAAAGCATTTTTCTTCTTCTTCCATAACACAGAGTGTGAAAAAGACTCTACCTTTTCCTCTGATGAAACTGTAAGCTTGTCACTTGATATCAAACTGCAAACCTGGTCCAGGCTCAGACTAAGAAATTCTTCACCAAGCATCACTTCAGGAAAATGCTGCTCTGTTCAAAAAAAAAAAAAAAAATCAGAAATTGGAGAGGAAAGAAAGATTATAATAGAAAATAAAACATTAGAAAATAAAACCTGCCATTCACAGCACAATACACAACTATAACATGGCTGAAGCCCAATTTTTACCCATATGGCAGTCTAAACCACTTGATTTTTAATCAACTATTGGCCAGAAGTTACTCTCAGTTACAACATTCAGATTCCTCAGCTAACTTTGACCTTGGAGGATAAGGCTGAGGTGATTCAGAAACATATTGATACCACTCCAAAAGAGTTCCACAGATGGCATCAGAGCTTTTGTGGCAATCTTTATCTGGGTGAGGTACAGGGGACAACAAGAGGGACTTAAGAGTGCACACAAAAAAGTAACTGGGCTCACATGCAGTCCAAAGTCCTCCCATTTCCCCCATGGTAAGTTTCTAGATGAGAAAATTCTGCTTTGGTATAAGGAAATAACTATAGCAATAAATAAATAAATAAATAAATCTAGGGAGGATTAAGTTTTAATATCAAATCCTAAGCATTAACCAGTAATTCTTAATTCCACCTATATCTGTCACCATTTTTAACTAGCTAACCCTTTATGTTACCATATCATGACTAGTAAATGATCTCAGTCATGAACATTTATCACAAGCAAGGACAGAAAGTTTAAGAACTTCTGGTTGAAAGGGAACTAGCAAAAAGAATCTAACCATGATCATTATCCAGTCTGACTAAAATTATAAATATACAAGTAGTGAGAAAAAAATACTGAGAAAAAGTGGGTATGGCCAACTTATAACTGAATGTACCTTAATCTTAGGTACATACATCAGATGTCCTCGTCCCCCTTACACTGTATACTAATCGGATCAATAAACTCTGATCTCCTTTTAGATGCTTTAAACAGGTAAAGGGCAACTTTTGTTGCTACAACTGAGTTATAAGCAGCTAGTAAAAATGTGGTTTTGGCTGCTGTATTCCAGCCCATTATATTACAAATAAAAGGCCATAAATGTTGTTTCCTATCTTGTACAAACAGCATTTATGTAGATCATCATTATACAAGAATCTTCATGAGCAACAAAGAATGACTACACTGGTTTATCCCAAATTAAGAAAAGAGGTAGTTCCACCGCCAAAGCATCAGGTTCACAATATGCTGTTGTCTGTGTAATGTCTTAAATTTTGGAAAGGTAGTTTGGAAGGCAAAACTTCTCATGGAAGATCACACAAAACTCCATCTAAAAGAGCCCAATCACATAGACTTCTTGATAGGGCTATAAAAAAATCCTCTCTGAAACCCCAAATACAGGCAGTGCCCAAGTTCTGAACAAGATAGGTTCTGTAAGGTTTTTTTTAGGTTGAATTTGTATAGAAGTTGGAAAATGTACATTTTTAAATGTAACTCCAGCCATACGTGTGTGTGTGTGTAGTTTTGGATAGCACATGGATTTAGTATTTGCTTTGCTGTCTGTGCCCTGCTCAGAAGATTTCACCTCACTTTCTGTCCTTGTGATAATTGGATATTTTTAATGGCTTGTTGTGGGAGCAAGAAGCAGTGATAAAAATTCAGTGGAGCCACCTTTTCCCCGTTATCTCTTTCAGGAATGAATTTCCCTTCCTAGGGGTAGATTTCACTTCCTGTTGTCTCACATTCTGTTCTTAACTATGAGTTGGTTGTAAGTCAGAAGTTTGTAATTCGGAAACTGCCTGTAATTGCTACCAGTGAAAATAGGCCAACCTTCCCAATACTGGATGGAGATGATGAGTGATGAAGACCAGGTGCTCATTGTCAAGGATCTAAATCCAGGTGGGAAAGTGAAAGTGTGTCAATGAGTCCTGGGTGGGGTTACACTTTCTCCTATTCACAGTTCGGGATGCTTCTGATCTGTCACTCCAAACAGCTGCTAAAGTAGTTGAGACAGGAATGACTATTTTCAATTTCAATAAAGATGGTAGTAAACTGGACTTCTGTAATGTGCTTATCACTGGGCCACCTCTGGAGCAAGTTCAGAAATTTCAGTTAAATTGAAACATGGCAGATCTAGGAGCGATCATATTACACTAATATTAAGATCACTCCACTGGATGCCAATTGATTTACAAAGTATTGGTTGTTACCTTTGAAGTCCTACATCATTTAGGTCCATGTTACCTACAGGATCACCTTCTCGCATATAATCCTCCCCATACACTCAGGTCTTCTGTCTAGGGCAGGCATGGGCAAACTGTTAGGATTTGTGGTAGTTGAAGTCCAAAACACCTGGAGGGCCAAAATTTGCCCATACCTGGACTAGGAATTATTTACCCCAAGCACCCAGAACTGTGTTGGCAACTGTCGCCATAGGACATTTCCTAGTCATTCCTAGATTATGGAATGACTTGTCAGAAGAAACTCAACAGTTGTCTAAATTTCAAATAGCGTTTTAAACTATGGACCGATTATTTAAATAATTTACTGATCTTACATGTTCTTTTAAACAGACGATAAGTGTGTTAAGTGGTCTGTGTGTTTTTAATTGATGCTATCTGTGCTGTTTTAATTTGTTGATGTTCCCCGTCTTGATTTTAGGGGGGGCTAAATGATTATTATGATGACGACAAAGTGAAAGGAAGATTTCTGTGGACAGAACCAACTAATGCAGTTTCTGTAGTACCTTCAAAAACTACATGGTTATTATTACCTTTAATCATGATCTAAAACTAAGACTCAAGACTCACATAAGGTTGTATTTTCATGTTTCAGTATACTTTCCAATGGAATGTGACACCTGCCTTGTGTCAGTGAAAATCATGGTAGTGATGTGTTCATCAATAATACATATACTGAGAGTTATTACAGTACTTATTCTTTGCACATGTATGGCCTCATTCTATTACTTTTTTTTTTCTTACACAGGACTGTTGCTCTTTTAAATCTTAGTACTGCTATATCTGTATGTACCAGTAGATGGCATACACTGACACAAATTTAAACTAAATCTTGCATTTTCCAATTGCCTAGAGATCACCTAAACATTAATTAAAATGAGGGAGGCGGAGGCAGACATGAGAATACCATGTTCCTATCCAAATACTCTTAACTTTAGAGAGATAGGAATTTATACCTTTATGTAAGCAAGCCATCATCTTTTGCTTTAAGGCTCTTTTCTGAAAGGAACTTTCTATTAGGTGAACTCATGTGCACCTTTCAATTGTTTTAAGGTGCAGATTTTGCCTCAACGTAGTTAATATATAGCCCAAGAATTTAAATAGCATTTTAAATGACATTTCATGTATGTTGCACAATATGTTAAAATAAAAAGAGCTTCATGATGGCCAATAAAGCCACAAAAGCAGACTTTGTAATTAGCCAACAGCCAAATATAAATTGAGTGCCATGCTTGTCAACTTTGTTAAGTTAAACATTAAACAAAATCAAAGCTCCTAGAGCCTTGTCCCAGTCCAGCTCACCTAAAGCTTGCAACTGCCCAAAGTGGGTGCCTGAAAAGGTTTTACCTGGATCTGTAGATAACAACACTGTACCAAAGAAAGAAGGACTAAAACTATAAGCCCCCTTGAGTCCCCTCCAGGGTAGAGAAAGGCGGGATATAAATATAGTAAATAAATTAAATAAATAAATAAACTCGATATTCTTTCTTAAAATTGATAATTCAGGGGAAAAAAATGTCCTGGTTGTTTTTACACATCATTCTGGCAGAACGATGCACCAGTTCAGACTGCATGTGACAGAGAAAAAAATTAATGTTCCCCATTTCAGAAATCTTGTGCTGTTCAAAAACTGGCATTTCAGAGTTTTCTTTGAACACATCTGACAACCGTACAATAAAAGACTGTAACTCCCAATAAAAGAATGTAATTTTCAAACCTGCATTGATGTTATTGTGCTTTATTGCTCTCTATTGATAAGACCTTGAAATGTTCACCCTGAAGCACCAGAAACCAACCAGTCCAATTATCATTCCTATAAAGGGTTGGATAATATTAAGATTTGTGCATCTAATTCATCTATAAATCATTTCTCCTTCCAAACTGCATCCACAAAAGCCAAGGAGATCCAGGTTCTTACATGCTCTCCAGCCTCATTTGACCCATTCTCAAATGGAAAATACAATGAAAGCACAACAAAGTGGTGCCAAAATTGATTCTGAGAAGGAATGGCATGAGAGATTATGTCAAAAACATTTGAACAGTTGCAGCAAAAAATATAATCGAGGGAAGCATTCCCAAAACAACAGAATTGTCTCTCAATAGATGTTTTACTGTCTTCTGCATTACATTCATCATTAATACTGACATAAAAACCAAGAGAAAAGAAAGCCACATGGATCTTATACAAGCTTCAAAAATACTTCTCGGTACAGCAAGAGCCCGAAATATGTAGAAAGCAAAACAGGAAATAATTAACTGCTTAAAACCTAGTGGAAGTACCCTGTAATTGTGTTTTCAGATTTCAGTGTAATACAAAAAACAAAATGTTCTGGTTGCACTGGCACCCACAAATCGTCCAAATTTGGAATTCCTATCAACTAACTGCTGATGACATAATGTACCAGAATCCAAGCTGTGATGGTTTTGCCCTTAGAACATAACCTTCTGGAATGAAGAAGAAAGGTAAATAATAGTCTGATAATCTTTGTACATTTACTGGGTTGTTGTAAGTTTTTTGGGCTGTATGGCCATGTTCCAGAAGCATTCTCTCTCAACATTTTGCCTGCACCTATGGCAGGCATCCTCAGAGGTTGTGAAGTCTTGAAGACCTCATAACCTCTAAGGCTGCCTGCCATAGATGCAGGCGAAACGTCAGGAGTGATTCCGACCAAGAAAGCCTTCAACAATTCCTTGCACATTTATCTTTCAACCATCTCAATTTATGCCATATTTCTGAAGTCTAGGATTTTCCATAATACAAAAATAGATCTCTTGTATTTAATGGTTTTAATGACTAGGTGAATGTTTACAACACGGGAAGCCTGTATTTCTATTTTGAACTGCAACAATTTCCTAACTTCTCTATTATTCTTTCTACCCATTTTTGTGTGAAATGTTAGCTATGAAGCAGAATGCCACTGAGAGATTTAGATTCTGAATTTCTCAGTTTATTTCAGATGTGTAATACTTCCTACATATCACTGTTATTTTGAAAATCAGTAGAACTTCCAAACATATGAATGCAATGCATAACTAGTGGTACCTTCTTCATGTTGTTTTCTTCTTATATACCAGGCATGTCCAAAGTCTGGCCCGAGGGCCAATTGCGGACCCTGTTCAAATTTCCATCAGCTCTCTCTCACCAGGCCTCCCTCCCTCTCTCCCTTCCTTGACTTCCTTCCTTCCTCCTTACCTATAGGCTGGCCCCACAACAGGCTGAGGGACCGTGATCTGGTCCTCAGCCTAAAAAGTCTGGACACCCCTGATATATACTATCAAAACCAAGACAAGAAAGGCTAAAAATCTTCTGAGTTCCAACTCATCACAATTAGGACACTAAGTTAAATATTAAACTTTCAGAAGATTCATAACATTTCAATTCCTTCCAATAGCATTAAGCAACAAATCAGTTTGCTTCTCCATTTTTTTAAAGGCTGAAGCAAGAAACTGACTTCAAGGTATCTATACACTGTGTTTTGAAACAATAGACATTTGGGGAGTGCTGTGATCACCTGCATAGGCGTTGGCCTGCTGCAATAGTTCTGAGCAAGTATGCACATCTGCAAAGGCGCGGATTCCAAGGCAATTTGTGGGATGGAGCTGAGACTGAAGAAAGTCACAACAGTTTTGTCGAACATCCATTAGCTGTAATAGGCTGGCTGCTGGCAACAAAACCTGGAAATCAGAGCAGGAAAAGGAATAATTAGCAACCTAAGTCAAAGATTGGCTTCTCAGATTAATGATCCAATGAAATTTGTACCAGCAAATCTTAAAGGGGAACAATTAAAGGACAAATGCATTACGGATTTAGAGATTTCAATAACAGAAGGAACATATTGCTGAAACAAAAAATTCAAAAACTAAGAAAAGCCATGCAATAATTATTTTAATACTTCTCAAAGTGGATGCAGAAGTACCTGGGAGAATAATGCTGTATTTCAGAAGCAAATTACTTGGTTTTCCAAAAGTTATCAATAAAAGAGGGAATAAGAAAAAAACAAAATATCTTTATTCATCAATTTTCAACTCTCCCAATTGTTTGTAACTTCAGCATTTACAATGCATTGATTTAACATCCACATTCGTCTCTCTGCTCTCAGCATCGCACCATTCACATTCACAGCAACCTAACAGCATCACATAGACCAGGCTGCAATTTCTTTTATTTTTACAAGCCATTCCCTCCCTTGAATTTTACAAAACTCAATCAATACACTTTTGTATTTGCCAAAAAGCCATTACACCTCATAGAAACAACACACAATTGTGACAATAATCTACAATTAATATAGCTGGGGTTTCTTGCTTGTTATGAATATATTGAATGCGGTTCATCAAACAGGCCAACATCTTGGTAATCATTTCCTGAAAAGCACTCTTCATTTGTACATTGATGAGGCAGCATATTGTACTGACAGACCAACTTCACCCTAAATTATTTTCCATTACAGACAGCAAGTTGTTTTCATATCCAAAGGCTGCACAAAGAATCAAATTTAGGTGAAGTATTGTTGGTAGTGTAAAAACGTTCAAAATAGTTACTGAAGACAATTCGAAAAGATGGCCCAGGTGCACAAATATTTTATCTCTATTCAAAAAGACTCCTCTCTAATTCATTAGATACAAAATTAATTCAAAAGCTAGAACTGAGAAATTTAAACTGTATTAATTTCATTTTTTCTACACGTCTGCAAGGAATGATCCAAAGAAACATGAGAAAAATGTTAAAGACTTAACTTGCCATAACACTCTGCTGGCAAGTAGTGAATTGTATTCCTGCATTCCCTTAATTCAATATATCCTAAAAGAACAGTAAGCAAAGCTGCAACATGCCCTGGAGCTCGTTCACTGTACCGTTCCAGCAAGAAAAATCAAACCCAGCTGGATCTTACTGGAATATTACAAATCAGTAACTTTTTTAGAGTACACTATCCCCAAAAGGCAACAATAAAAAATAAATTAATTGTGTTATTGGCCTCCATGCCCCCAAACTTGGTTGATTCTTAGAAAAGATATGGTGAACCCAGATAAGAAAACTAACAACAATTTCTAGGAACTGTCACAAGTTCTGAATATTCAATTGCAACAAAAGAGTTTGAGATTGAATGGAAGTTTATACAACTGTTCACATCTCTATCCTATCGTAATAATAATAAAACTTTATTTATATACTGTCCTATCTCCCTAAAGGGACTCAGTGGTAAATATTCTATGTACCACTTATTATCATTTGATGCTTACAAGATCTGCGAACCCCAAATTCCCTGGTAACAGTCTTGAAATGCAAGTAATATTATCCAAAGTTTCAAATAGATAAAAGCCTGTCTCCGTTCAACATCCCAAAGGATGTCTTTATCCAGCCAACTGCTTTATTTGACATTGTACTGCACATCCTTCATTCACAATTTTATCACTGATTTCTTGAAAGGGAGAAAAATACATCACTACGGCAGAGAAAAATATTACTCTAGATAGAAACTCAGCCAAGAACTTGTTACTTGCAAAAGGGATTAAAACTTGCGCAACTCATTTTAAAATGGCATTATCCAAGTGGGGAAGCAAGAACAGAAAAAATCAAGCAGAACAATTTAAACTGGGACTAACTGCCATAAGGCTCAAAACCGTGTGCCTTCCTAATTTCCCAATTCAGTGGAAGACCTATATTTTCATTTTGGCCATTTCTGTAACACTTGAGTCACTAATCCTGGGAACTAAATTACAGAGAAGGCACCAAGATCTGTCATAACTCAGCTGATATCACTTATAACATCTCCAAAGTGTTTCTTTGAGATATCATGATGATACAAGGAACTGCTTCGTCTTGCATTAGACTGATGGTGCGTGCATTTAGCTGATCCAAGTGGTTGTAGCTTTCTTGGATTTCAGAAAGAGGTCTTTTCCATCACGTTTTCTCCACCAGTTAGGACTAGAGATGCCTTAAGATAGACTTTTATTCAAGCAAATTGAAACTGTCTCTGAACAGCAGTGTCTAGACCCGGGAACACCTTGTTCTTGCACATTATTTTACTCAGACAACACAATTCTTATGAATAGCATAAGCTGTTTTGAGTAAAATTTGAAGCAGCCAGAGTACAAAAAAAGAAAATAAAAAGAAATATGCATAGAAAGAGGAGGTGAGGACAGAAGGCAAAAGAAACTGCAAAAAAGAGAACATGCTGTAACTATATAGTTGAAGATTAATTGGTTTTCTATTGGTTCCATCCCTCCTAATCCTTATCAAACTCTGCCAGGACTGAAATCTTGTTTCAACAATGAAACTAAACTAAATCCATTTCATTTTCATTCAGGATTAACATGTTAGACTTCCAAAGTGAATTATCTACTTCTAAAAATTGTATGAAAATACTTCCACAGCAAAAACATACTTATTGCTTAGCTCCATGATTGCTGAAATGTATATGAATTCTGACAGAGCACTACAGATTTTAATAAATATTTAAGGGTGAGATCGTGTCACTAAAAAAAATAGTAGCAGTATTTTTAGGCTTTTTACACTTGCATGGATTGGTTTCTTGCAAACTTTCAATGAAACACAAAAGCCATGCTGTTATATTTACCTATAGAGTTGAAAGGACACATGAGCAAGAAATGAAAAGTTGTGCACGCAGGATCCCTTGTCACCACCCAGTTCGGTCCCCGCCACTCTCCATATCTTAAGGGCAAACCTCTGCTTTATTCCATATGCCACCCAGAACCCGCAAAATCAGGATTTTAATCACACTAATTTTCCATGCATATAAAAGGCTCCTTGTAGTAGGCATTCACCCTCAAAATGAGGAATGCTAGAAGGATCATGCTGGAAATGATACAAACTTAGCATTCTTATCCATCATCCTTCATGGTAAGGGCAATCGGGGGTTAAATGTATTGTTTGTACGTATCTTGATACCCATCTTGCTAAACTAGTTAAATTCTGCGCTAAATGGTGTTGTTTCCACAACAGACCTTAAGGGAACTCACTGTTCCTGTGTTAAAAAATTAAACTTGAGACTTCTGGACTCTGGAGCAAAACATGTCTTTGTACACTGATTTTTGTACATCCTGTTTCTTGATTCTAAGTGAGTGAGAAGATAGAACATACAGCTATTAAACAATATAAGAAATATTCAGTACATTCTTCAAGGCATTCAAAATATTTTAGACTAAGAAATCTTAACCTTCCAGGTACAACACATCTTCATAGTCTTTCAATACAACCTTTCTGGATCACTGTTCTCTAAATGGAATAAAATGCATCACGTTATCAACCAACTTTCTACTGAGAACGCTATACTGATCATCTTTTAGATGCTACAGATGTTCTGACACTTTCCATAAACATCAACACTTTTGGCAATGTGTAATTTCCTTTTCAACTTCTGCAGACAGGCACACACAGAGTAGAAGACTGACAAGTAGCTGATGGACAGATGAAAACCAAAGGATCAGCCCCTGGGCATGTTTAAAAGGATGCTGGCCAGTAGTTAGGTGAACAATCTTCTGTCCAAAACTACGGAGTATTGCTGCCAGTCAGAGGCGATAAAGATGGTGTAGCTTGACCAGTAGTTTATCCTTAAATAGCTCAGACTCAAGAAGACAACGGGATGTCATAATGATTAGACAAAACCTTCCAACAAACATTATAAGCCCATTCACACATTCCGAATATATGTCTTTCAACACAAGTTTTAGTATGCCTTAATAAACTTAATAATTAAATTGCAAAGAGTAAATGCTAATATTAAATTAGTAATTGCTTTATAATATCCCAGGGACTGGTAATATGTCTGTTATAAATAAACCACTTTGTGAGGAAAGAGGGGTCAAGCCGAAAAGTAAATTTAAAATAATTTTATAAGAAATATTGTTGGCTTTATTTGGTGCATGTAATAGTATCATTAGATTCATGACAAAGCCAAGAAGAGCTTTAATTTTGATTTCAAGGAAGCCCTTCACTAATTTTGAGTTCCATCCTGGGATCAAGACGGAATATATATTTTTAAGTGAATCAAATAAATAGCAAAATATTTTAAATTTATTTATTTACCGAAGGGGACTCAGGGCGGCTCACGACAAAGGCACAATTTGATGCCTTGAGTACATATAAAACAACATATACTTTAAAATCATATAATTAAAACTTATCAACTTAAAATAATTACTTAAAATCACACAATCCAAAAGCATATTCCAGGAGCCATTCCGATTGTCACTTGCATTATTCATTATTGCACTAAAAGATCATTGTTGCACTGGGAATCACTGTGCAAACGCTTGGTCCAGAACTTGCCTGTATTTTGAACCAGTGTAAACAGTTATGTCGCTTCCTATCTGGTGGCAGGACTTGTTCACACAGCCAGCCTGCTTTCCCTGGGCTTGGACAGACCAAAAATAAGGGTGACACTAGCCTTTTGCCATGGTTTTGGTGTTTGTGGCAATCACTGGGCACCACTCGGTGCCTATGATGACAACAGCCAGAATGGTCACCCTAAGGTCTGAATGACAGGGGGGAAATAAAGGTGAAAGTCTGGCAGCAACAAATCATTTCCAGTGCCGTTGGGTCGTGTGGATGCCATCCAACCACCAGTCTGGCTTGGGGGTGCAGAGTGCAAGCACCTGCCAAACTCTAAACCGGCTCAGCAGCTAGAACTGTGGATTTCAGCAGCACTGAACCAGAGTAACTCATTGCAAATTAGACTTCCATTTCTGACACATGTTGATGGCCCAATTAAAAGGCTGCAATCCTATACCTACTTATCTATACCTTGGATCTGTATCGCAGAGAAAGGTGGGGTAGAAATATACTAAATAAATAAATAAATAAATAAAGTAAATAGGAGTAAAGCGCAATGAAGTCAGAGTAAACCCTCGTGAACTGAGAATGTACAATGCAATTCACTAAAAACAAAAACAGAGCCAATCAAACCCATCAAAGGCTTTCCAAAATAGTATGTTTTCAAAACAGAAAAGGAAAGCAGAGACGACAAGGAAACCCTCATTGATTTCTCCTCACCTGAACATTCTCTTCTGTCACTTCGATTTCAGCAGTGTAGATGTAATCAATCAGCTTACTCAAAGTTAGTCCATCAACATCTTTGATCTCAATCTTCTTTGCTTTACTTTCAGTCATATCTCCTGAAAATACATTAAGAAAATATTTTTTAACACATCCACATTTTGTATTTCTCCCCTTAGGTTTCAGAGAGGCATCTTTCCTTTCTTTTTTTTAAAAAATGCCCCTTCTCCTTTAAAACACTGTAAACAGAACTTTCATTTCTTCAGATCTAAGAAAGACTTCAAATGTGTTCGTGTAGGTGTCACTGTTAAAGGATATTTTAAAGAGGGAAAAAACTTGCTTTAAAAATCTATTCTGGCAAGAGAAGGTTTTCTGCTGCAGGGTGAGAAAAACCACTTACTCCATCTCACAGAGTGAACAAGCCATCTTCTTCAATAGTACCTCTCCTAAAAGATGGCCTTGTTCTAAAATCCATTCATCCTCTTCCACAAAGATAGCCAGAAAGATCTTTCTTTTTGTTCCCTTTCTATATTCTTCAAAAGAAAAGAAGTTTAGAGTGGCCATCGCTGTACCTCCTCAATGGGATTTCTGTTCATTTGAAAAACACATCAATTCCTTTCCTTTTCGAGTGAAATTTTAACATCAAGTGCATGAGTTTTGTGCTTTCATTTTCCACTGGAAAGCCCTTTTGTTTGCATATTCTTTGAGGTACAATCTCAGAACAGGTGGCCTGAGTTAAGGACATTGCCAACTCCAGGGAACTTTTGGGTGTACACTAGTACACAATTTTTGGGTAGCTTTCATATATCTGCATGTGGAAAGGAGTTGGCATAACATAAACTATAAAGCCCAAACTGGAGTTTTGCATTAAAGGTTTTGTGGGTGGCTGCGGCAGAATTTCACACTTTCTATTTCAGAAATATAAGACCCCAAATTCTGAAACGTAATACCTTGAAAAATATTTGCTTTCAGATTAATTTTAATTTCAATGGAACCCTCCTTCCAACCCACTTGTTCTTGTTGCGTACTTCCATGTTGTGTCTGACCTATGGTGACCTGAAGACAAACCTATCACAGGTTTGTTGGCAAGATTTGTTCAGAAGAGGTTTGCCACTGTCTTCCTCCTAGACTCAGAGAGTGTGATCTCCCCAGGGCCACCCAGTGGGTTTCAAGTCTGATATCCAGAGTTGTAGAACAATGCTCGAATCGCTACGTCATGCTGGCTTGCTTCCAATTCATTCACTTCCTTCTCCCATCTCTGGCTATCTTGCTTCCTGCTTCTACTCAAGAAGGAAGTTGATATGTATCTGTATGCCATCTCTGCTATTTCTGACACCTGGCTAACAGTTGTAGCAACTAGTCAGCCACAAGAACAGAGGAGACAGATGTCTCTTCACCTTCCTTTCACTACTGTCAGAATAGCAACAAACACAATCAACTCATGGGTAAGAAGGTGGGGAAAAGAGTTTGGAATAAAGAAGCCAAGCAGAAGCCAAGCAGAAGAAGCAGAGCTTTGGATAAAAGTCCCTGTATTCCCCTTCCACTCGGCCAACATGGCTAGAATCATAGAGTTGGAAGAGACTACATGGGCCATCTAGTCCCAGTTATATCCTACCTTGCCCAGCACTATTTTTTAAATTTTAATTTTACATTTGGCCCAGTCATAGGTTTTAAATGCTTGTTGTGTTACTGTACTGCTTATATATTTTTATGAGATGTATTTTAAATGTATTGTTTGTTTGCTATTGTTTTATTATTGATGTATTGTGGGCTCGGCCTCATGTAAGCCGCATCGAGTCCCTTGGGGAGATGGTAGTGGGGTATAAATAAAGATTATTATTATTATTATTATTATTAATATTAATATTATTATTATATCCACAGTTATTTTCATTCTTTATGCAATCCACAACAAATACAGCATATACAATAAGATGTATAGTTTAACCTATCTGGAGAGTACTAGAATAGGTAAGGTTCATCTATATCAGTGGTTCTCAACCTGGGGTCCCCAGATGTCTTTGGCCTTCAACTCCCAGAAATCCTAACAGCTGGTAAACTGGCTGGGATTTCTGGGAGTTGTAGACCAAAAACATCTGGGGACCCCAGGTTGAGAACCACTGATCTAGGTATTTCAAATATCATTTAAATAGTCTACAGCAGCATTTCTCAGACTATCTGATGTAAGAGACTAGTAAATTTATTACAGTATGACAGAGACTGGTACCATTTTTTAGCCATTGGCTAAAACTGTTTCTTTCATGGAACTTGAGCCAGAGGCTGGCAGCCAGAGACCTAGGGACCAGCACTAGTTAAAATAAACAAGAGCAAAGGTGCAACTGTAGAATTAATGCAAAATCCTGATAATGATGGTGATATGTGCACCAAGGTAACCTGAACTCTGTATCCTCTATAAAATATGCATATGATTTAGTGTCTGAAATAATTTAATAGATCTAGCATAATTATCCAGATTCTATTTCTGGGAGTCCCGGAGAAGTCACAATGTTGAGAAAGCATAAAAGAGCTATATCCTAATAATTGCTACCACCTAGTCCCATTTATGAAGGACTAACCGAACCACATCATTTCAAGTCTATTTTTAGTGAACTCCCATAGGCAAGGTTTTCTAACATATGATTTATGTGTTACCAATATTAATACAAAACACCTAAGGTTTTTTTTTTGTGTCACATTGGGTCTTTATCAAGCAGTAAAGTTTCCATGAATTTGCCACATGGTTTGGTGATTATCAGTTAGTCATTCACAGGATATAATAGTTGTACCAAATTACACAGCTAGTCATCTTTTTAAGAAATTGGTGGACAACTTCTAATGGTTTAGGAGGGTCAGGAGCACACTGCTGGTTGCATCACAGTCCATGCATTCATAAAATATGGTATTGGACATGTAGAAATATAGGGTTCATTATTACCCACAAATTCAGGAGCAGGGGCATCTTGGAACATATGCCCTGCAGTTACAAAGACCATACTATATAATCAAAATATAGGCTTTTCTAGTTATTATCCATGGTTTCAGGTATCCATGGATAGTCTTGGAATGTATTCCCTGTGAATATAGGGGCCATACTGTATTATTTATTTCTCATTTTTAAAAATTCTGAAATGTTTCACAAATAAAAAGGAAAGTTTTAAATATCAGTGTATCTTTTATTCTAATTATTATTAATTATTTATATGCTGCGTTTCTCTCTTAACTGAAGCTCCAAGCAGTGAACAATGCTAAAAACAACACTTAAACACGCAGTTGGATTTAGACCTTTGAAAGATTTCAATTCTAACACTGTGATTGAGCTACATTTTGCAATTTCATCTATGTCTTGTTGTGCTTTAGGAAGTTGATGTTCTACTTTCAAGAAATATGTGGAAATTTTCCCATTACTAAAAAAATTATAGTGTGATATCCCTAATAGCCTGTGTGTGGTATGATGGCATGGATGATCCATTTATTGTGAAAAATATAAATGAGGAGGCTTTTCCAATCAATTCCACCTTCAAATTCTATTGTGATAGTAAGTATTTGAGTATAAGAAAAGAACCCCAGGAAAAAAATAAATAAAGCAAAAGCAGCTGAGTAAGAAAAGGCTTGTCTAACAAATATTGTTCATGAACTTTGAAGATCAATGTGAACACTACAATTTTCTTTTTATGTGACCTCAAGAGGCAGCAGGAGCAGAAAAAAATACCTGTTCCCTAAAATAAAATCTGATGATAAAAAGGAATCTTTGATAGAACACTGCAAAAATATATAGAGTTATAGGTGGAACTAACCCCTTTATGTCACAGCAACAGGACTTGTCAGTCAGTAAATGTGGAAAACATTACCAAACAGAAAGTTCAAGTCCAGCCATGTGTTCTAGGGCATGCTGGTCTATATTTAAGAAATACAGATAAACTCTCCTACATTTCCTTCATACAGAGTTGGTTCTCTATATGTCTCCACAATAATCCTATGAAGTAGAGCATTAATATCCAAGGGGGGGGGGGGGTTTGGCATGCTGAGATACTAGAACAGCTGAAGTGCTGTCCAATATCAAATTAAAGTGTGCTTGTATAACAGTGACTTCAATGGCACAGTCCTGAAATGAGGGGGCTTTGGAATGTGGCCAAAAAAAGCTGAAGTTGGCCCTTTTCCTAAGTGGAACATTTTGCGATCTTTATCACTGCCCAAGTTGCCAATCCACTGAGGGAGCAGCTTGAAAGTGGGCGTTCTAGCTCATGCAGCATTTATTTTTTGCCACCTCTTCTCTAAAAGTGCTAGAGAGAAAAAAGATTATATCAGGACAGGCTCTCCCAAGCTATATATACCTAAGCATCCATACAGTCACCAAGTAGTTGTAGTTTGGATTAGTATTGATTCTTCCTTTGTGATTTTGCTAAAGCCAGCAGTCAGTAACTGAATTGGCAATGAACAGATCCATGGGCCAAATATGGAACTGAGGGGCCATACACATGCAGCCACTGCTCTTCTCTCTGAATTATTCTATTTCTGCCATTTTAAAACTAAGGTTCTTTGCTGTCCATATTCATGCTAGTTGACCCTGAAAACATTAAACTGGGAAAAAGGATGTGCAACCATCTGTGCCACTGCTTGGCAAAAAACAGGAATCTTTTAATGCTTCCTACTAAGCCACAAGTGATAATGGACAGCAACCACTGGCACAACTTTTTTCTCCCCTGGTTTCCTGCCTCTTAACTGAAAACAGAGATGGTTAAAGTTTAGTTTGCAAACCTTTCCATCATCACCAATGACCTAGATCTTGATTGCTAGACTCTAATGGTCCTGACCTATCTTTCAATTTCAATGGCACAGCCATTTATACACATTTGGAACTAACTTCTTCCTGCGTCGAAGGACCACCTCATACAAAGTAAAAATTTTATGCAAATGCCCTTGCTTTTTTTTTAACCACACACATGCTGTTACATCCATCAATCCAAACCACATGTGATGAGTATTGTTTAGCTTTTCCTGTTCATCTAACCAAAAAGTAGTAATTGCACCAACATTCATATTAATAATAGTAGAAAAGTCATATTTTAAACCAAAAAAATAACTTTCAGTTGCAAAATAGATTGTTGACACAATGGATTTCCACAATTAATATGATTGAAGAACCACAGTCTGCAAACCCTTCACTCAAAGACTGGGTTATGCCATGCACTGATTCAAGTGTTTTAAGTAAAAATAATATGGAACCAATGTATACATTATAGTTACAAGAGGAAGACAAATAACAGAAAGGTAAAGCAAGAAGGCAAAAGACATTGGTGGAACTTTGTGGTTTTGCAAGATAATCTCAGCATGTCTTGAGGTTGAAATCATTCAGCATGGCTTGGGAAAACCTTTTGTGTATGGCCTGTTCTAGGCTGTTACAGTGTGTCTTTTTTTTTTTTTTTGGTCTCACTTTTGGCTTTGTCCTTTGGCTAAATTGTGATGATGACATGCCACCTCACTCCAGAGCCAACATACATCAGATTCATGCTTCAGGACCCCTTCAGGATTCAGGTCCTGATACACAGCAACCTTAATACAACAATCAGCCCCAAGCCACCATGAAGGTGATTATGGCTCAACAATAGGAACTATGTGTGGACTTCCAGTTGTTACTGGCTTGGGACCAGATAGCACAATAAGGTGTAGTGGGAGCTGCTGATCACTGGCCATGACAATTAGGTTCATTGAAAGGGAGGATGGGAACTGCAGTTCAACAACGTGAAGGACCAGACATCTTTGTTACATGGTTTTTGTAATGTTAAATTATCTATAGAATCAAGCTCAGTCCACAATATCCTTAAGCCATACGGTATGACTTAGAAATGTTCACAAATATCTCATCATACCATCAACTATATATCTCGGGTATGGATTTTTTTCCATTCACAACAGCTTTAAACACAGATACAGGTCATGATAGTAGCATCGTCCATGACATTGTTTGGCTCTCAATATACATACATTAAAAGCAGTAGCAGTTATTTGCTTCTGGAGCACAACATTACCTGTAAACATGGCACAGAAATAAGGACTGCAGGCTGCCAGGACAATACGATGGGCTTCAATCTCAACATCTTCAGCAACAATTACCACATCACAGAGGAGCCGCTTACTGTGAACAAACCAAAAGTCACATTTTCAGAACACATTCCAACACCACACGTTCTATATGAAAACGGAAATGATCCTGTTGCCTCTGACAACTCGAAGAAACGGAAAGAAGAACACAGCAAGAAGCAAATGATCACTTCCACTTCTAGAGGAACCCTGTGAGATTATCTTGGCTTTCAAAGCATTGTGCTGGCTTACTCCATCCTCCCAGGGTAGGACACAGGGAAATCTAATAAGCAGATTATTCATGTGAAGAAAGAGCTTAGATAAAGATAAGCTCAAGGGACAGCTCAGTTTATAAGGGAATTGTCCTTCTTCTGCATATCTAAGTCCCAAAGAACAGTTCACCTTTGCATTATTTCATAGCCTAACCCTAATTCGCTGCTAGTATGAGTAGACAACTAATACTTTATCCATGGTTCTAGTGAACACGTAAATGTTCTTTAAACTGTTTCTGTCCTCTTGAAAGTGTGATTTTCACCTAGTAATTCCACTAATCTGTAACAACTCAGCCATTTACAAAATAATTTGCCACACGACTATCTGAGCTTATGCTACATTTTAATATGCAAAATCACATTGATGATAAAAAGAGCATTTTCATAGACATTATGTCATGTCAGACTCATCTACATGTACAGTGCAAACTGAAGTAATCACAAAATTTGGCAAATATATCTCATTTATAGATTTGCATATTTGGAGTTTGTTACACACTTATTATAACTCTTCACTTTTTCTAGATTTAAGTACTTCACCAGAACAAGGGTTTTGAGTAATACCACATGGAAGAAATAATATTAATCACTCAAGGTCTTTCACATTGAGCTCACATAGCTATCAATACTGAAGGTGGCATGGAAACTGAAAGAAACAGAGAAAATAAGAAGAATCCTGTAGTAGACACATAAACCTACAGCTTTAAATTGACATTGGCTTACAATGTCTGAACATTTACATTAAACAACCTCTAACAGTAAATTCATTATATTTAACAAACATGATAGTTTAGCTGTATTTAAAGGGCAAAAAAGAAAATCTAAGTGTTCAATTATGTTAAAAAGAGCAGTAGAGAAAAACATGCATGCACACGACCATTAGAATGAATACTGAGCTAACGATATTTATATCTGCATTGCCTGCAGAAGGTTTTTCCTCTGTAATTATGTGTAGGTGTTTTAATACCAGTAATATTTCACTATGTTTTAAAGTAGTTTCTAAATATATGAGAATGGCAATACAGTTTTTTCTCCCTTATATAATTTTTCAGTATGGTGGCAGAGCAGTATTATATAAGTCTTGTTCTAGGTCTTCCAAAAAAGGTAAAAAGAAATAAATCTCAATTTGGACATGTATGCTTGAGCCTACTCATGATGGCTAGGTCTTATGCTATGCCAAGAAATGTGAGCTAAAGAAATCCATTTGTGGATCTCACATAGGAGGGACCTTGCAACCTTTCCTTCCCAACTCTCCTACTATAGATTGCACAAAGAGGATTGCTCCACCCATCTTCTCTGTGCAAGGAGAGTGAAGACGAAATAATTGGGCACTAGTAGTACAGGCCATCTTGGGTCCTCCTGTGCCCTATAAGGATAGAAGGTGGACCTGTATCTACTAGGATCTTCACAGGAGCCAGATTCAGTATAGACATGCTATGATTACTGCAACGCGCCTACGTTTGGTTGCCTTTGAAGACTGTTTGGAAACTGCAATTAGTCCAACGGGCAGCAGCTAGATTACTCACCGGAGCGTCATACAGGAAGCATACCACCCTCCTGTTGTGTCAGCTCCACTGGCTGCCAATCCAATTCCGAGCACAATTCAAAGTGCTGGTCTTGACCAATAAAACCCTATACGGCTCCAGTCCAGCATACCTGCCCGAACGTATCTCCTTCTACGTTCCACCTCGGAGCTTAAGATCTTCTGGGGGGCCCTGCTCTCAGCTCCGCCTTTGTCTCAAACATGTTTGGCAGGGATGAGGGACAGGGCCTTCTCGGTGGTAGCCCCCTGCCTGTGGAATTCGCTTCCTGGGGAAATTAGGTCATCGCCATCCCTCCTCACCTTTAGAAAGAAGGTCAAAATGTGGTTGTCGGACCAGGCCTTTGGGCAATCAGGTAAAAGGACAATTGATAATGTTTGACTATGGCTTGGAAGTGGATTTGGATAAGTTAATGAAGAGTAATCATTAGTATATGGCTAGATAAATAGCCACCAGATGGACAATAGCTTAATGGATCGTGTAAGTATACTGTTTTAATCTTTATTTATTGTTCATGTTTTTTAATGGTTATATTTGCTATTTTGTATTTTATGATGCGGCATTGAATTATTGCCAATTGGAAACCGCTCTGAGTCCCCCTAGGAGTTGAGAAGGGCGGGTAAAAATGTTTGAAGTAAATAAATGATATGGCATAAAGACTATGGGTGTATCTATCAGAGGTTTTCAAACTTTTTCAATGGCCGAGTCCTTTTTGAAGCAAAAGTTTCTCATGAAGCACCAAGAAAGGTTTATATATTATACTGTAAATAATATTATATGAGCATGGGCAAAGCTTGTGATGCACTGTGTTTTAAAATTTGATAGATGAGCCGGGTCATTGGCAGCTGGATGGAGAATGGTTGTGTGAATTAACAGGGGGAGAAATGAACAAATTCCAATGCACACTGAACATGCCTCATTTGTAGTGCAAAAAAAGGAAAGAAAAAAAAGGCTTTTGGGGGTAAGGGGCCAAGGGGAAAGGCTTTTGGGGGGAAGGGAGGTGGGGGAAGGGAGGAGCCAGGAAGAGAAGGGAAAGCTTGGAAGGGGAGGAGGGGGAGGAAAGAGGAAGAAGGCAGATCTGAGCCTCTCAGTATGCTTCACAGAGCCCCAAGGGCTCTGCAGAGCACACTTCGATAACCCCTGATCTACACTATAGAATTAATGTTTGATATGACTTTAGCTGTAGTGCTCAAGGCTGTGAAATCATGAGGTTGCAAGTTTACAAGGTTTTCAGCCTTCTCTGTCAAACAGTACCAGTGCTCCACCAAATTAAAACTCCCATTAATAGTATTGAGCCACGGCAGTTAAAATGGTGCTAAACTGCATTAATTCTATAGTGTAGGTACACCCTTAAAAATGGAAGCTATATCACAAGCTAAGATAAGAAACTAGCATCCTGTGGCTGTTTTCAAGTACAAAGTTTATCATATGATGCCACTGTCCAGTAACTCATCCTGTGCCCATTATCTACGAAAGGGAAGCCTCGGTGATTACAGCTGTCACCGCCATCAACTATCCTTGGAATTTCATGCTAAACAGACATGTGACAACACTCACACAACCAAAATGACTGCTATGTCCCTCACTGGCCCACAGAGATACACCTGCAGAGAGATAAGACTCTTGTTCCCAGCCCCAAACATCACTGATTTGGAAAAGGTCATACACATTGCCATGGAAATCAGTCTTTGCTCAAAACAATGGGTTGTAAGCATTCAAGCAAATGCCACGGTTTAGTTCTGCAACAGTTCAACAGCAGCAGCAGGAAGCCAAAAGCATAAATCAGCCATAAGCATGCAAGAGAGGCTTAAGGGCAGCTGTACTCTTGTGTGTTTAGAAGAGCACCATATACAACACAATCCATTAGCTTCCATTAAGAACAGTGCTGTCTCTCAATTTCTATCTCTCTCTTTCCCCCCATTATCCCTTGCTGCAATGAAGTTACAAGAGGAATAATCTAATATTTTGTCATCTCAATGTCTCTTGTACATAACTCAGGCAGCGAAGCGCTCTGGCACGCAAACAACTATAGTCCAGTCTCTTTGTGTTCTCTGCCAGCAGAGAAGAGATAGAAGCAGTGTGAGTCCAAAAAGAATAAGGAAGCAGTACAGCACTTCATACTGCTTCCAATTATTCTGGTGCTCTTTTTGACACTTCAGTCATGCGGGGAGCATTGCTCTTCACAGTCTTCATCTATCATAGTTATAATGTTTAAAGACTGTTAAAGGAGTGCAGGCGGATCTTTCTCAAGAAACTGTTATCAGACAATATGATACAAAATCTTTATAACAAAAGGCAGTAAAATGTAAATGCATAAACACCCCACCACAAAAATACGTATGTGATACTTTTCTCAGGAAAAGGGTCCTTGAGGAGCAATTTCACAGGAAGATCAGAGTTGTTTGAGGAATCTTCTCACAAAACTGGACATGATATTTGTGACAGTGCATCTTTTCTCCTATGAGTCCACGCTGGTGTATGTGCTTTTTCTTCTCTCCCTTTTCACTTTATCTTCCTAAGACACCTGTAAGGTAGGGCAGGCTGAGAGTATGCAATTGCTCCAAAATCATGAAGTGAGATCCACAGCAGGAAGGAAATCCAGGATCTTAAGCTGCAGTCCAAAACCATTAACCATCATACCATACTGCATGAACCTATGGAACAGCAGCATTCAAAGTTATCACTGGCTAGGCTAAGGGTTCAGCTACCACTAATGTCTGCTATAGATTCCTGTCATGGCCATTATTTTCTTCAAATAACGTAGTTCTATTCTATTGTGCATTATACAGGTTGAACATTCCTTACCCGGAATTCCAAAATACTCTGAAATCAAAAATTGTCCACATGGGTGGCTGAGAGAGTAACATCTTTGCTTTCTGATAGTTTGGTATGCACAAACGTTGTTTCATGCACACAATTATTAAAATAGTGTGCGTAAAATTACCTTCAGGCTCTGTGTATGAAAGATAAATGGATGCTGTGTTTAGACTTGTGTTCAATCTCAAAGATATTTCATCCTGTATATGCAAATATTCCAAAAAAAATTAAAAATTAACAAAATTCAAACCATTTCTGCTCCCAAGCATTTTGTATATTATTTGCATAGCTTTGCTGTTGATCTTTTATGGAACAGAGCAGAGAGATGTATGGTTTAAGGCAGTGATAACCAGGAACTCCAATGACAATGAGGAATTCACTCTGGGTTTTAATATCAATTTCAAAAGTACTTTCCCAGTGAGGAACCCATTTGGGGGTTCCTCACCTTGGATAATTCCTTTCAAGTTCTGATTTAAAGCCCCATGCAGACTGACTGCCCCACTTACACCAGAGTTATGAGTTGCTACTGGTGGAGGGAACACAGGAAATAATGTGTGTAGCCTAACTCACGGCCACAAGCAATCCGGAGACCTTCCAACTCAGGACGGTCATGAGGTCTCACCACCTAGTTTGCTGTGCTACATCACCTTCATAGGACATAAAAGAGAGGACAAAGGTAATGTGCAATCAGAAGTAGGTCCACTGAACATCAAGTCGCGCCGATCACTTCTAATTATGTTCATAAGACAACTGAAAGCCTTTCCTTTCAATTCTTCTGGAGAACAAAAGTTAGAGAAGTAATCTCACTGATTAATCAAAATGTTGTCAAGCATTAAATAATGGGGAGAATGAAAAGAAAAGCCTCCCTTTGTCACAGTGCTGCCTATCTGGTTAAACCAGTGGTTCCTAAACCTTGATCCACAAACGTTAACTGATTTTAGCTCCCCACAATTCTCAGTCAGCACAGCCAGCAGTCAGGGATTCTAATATCTGTTTTGAAGGTCTCAGGTCTGAAAAATACTGGCTTAAATGAATGAGATTTAAATAACTGTAAGACTTGACAAACTGAAGTTAAGAAACATTCACAAGCAAATGTATCTGTAGAAATATGTGCACACGTGTGCCTGAGTACAGTAAATATATCCTCACAGATGTTTTATTACTCTTGTTTCAAGATTCACAAAGGATTCTGCACATGAAATACTGCACAAGCATTAATATGCAATCATCTGATATCACCCAGCCAGAACTGCACACTGGTGTACAAAAGTCTCTCCGTATGGCAAAGAATCAATATTTCATGAACAATTACCCAGTTTTACTGCATCCTGGCAACCCTGGTCAAAGAAAGGCATTATGGATTCATTACTTGATTCTCTAAATAGTATAATGTAGGCAGATGCCCAATACATTTTTCCTGTACAAATGCAAAAGCATGCATTCCTAGCTCATTTATAGAAATGATTATTGGTTATTAGAAGATCACTGCTGTTTGGGGTTTTTGTTGTTGTATTTGTTAGGTAAGAAGGTATGTATATTGACAGGAAATATAGTATGCGAAGCCATACACATATAGGTGGTATGGACTTAATATAAACAGAGGGAAACATACGACCCTCAACTGTTGTAGATATTGTTTACTTGTATGTGTGTTTGTTTGCTTGTCTTGCTTAACTTTCAATAAAAATGACTTAATATAAAAAAAGAAGATCACTGCTGAAATTTTGCGAACAGCTCCAATGCTCCATCATATACTAGGGAGTTGATGGAGCAAGAAAAAATGACGTATCTAAAAGCAGAATACACTTATTATTTGCCTTTTATTATTGTAATATAACTAGTATACTAGGAAAGTACATTTGGTACAAGACATGGTGCAGATTTATCTTTAGCAATGTAAAATTTTATTTGTTATTTAGAAGGGCTAGCAGTCAAACAGAAAACAAGTAGTTGAACATTTCCTCTTCCATGCCAGTCAGGTATATTTGTCCTAACAGTAGTAAAACTGCACTATCAATGTTTAAACAATTCTTTTCACTGGAGAATCTTTACGATAGTGAACAAGCAACTATTTCACTTGAATCCAGTTTTCTGAAGTACTGCAGAAACATTGTGAAGATTCTTACAGATTCTGTTTGAAAATCAGCATCTTATTTGTATAAAGGGCACAGAAAGTAAGGGATTATACATAACAGTTTTCCTCCATTCAACAACATGTGAGATATTTTGAAAGAAGATGAATTCCAGGCCAGTTCAAAGCTATTCACCTTTAGACCTGTCACTAGTTCCAGGTTGTGTAGTAGACTCACTGAATAAATGAGATTTAGCAATGCGTTGACTCACCATTCAACAACTGAAATAATGGGTCTACTCTATTTAGGATTAACTGGTAGGATTCAAGCCTTATTATTTTTGCTTTGGGCTCAGGACCCTCAGCATTAGCACCCAGCAGGGTTGGACAAACATCAAGGGGCCAGGATCCTCTGTTGATCACCGTTCATGCCTGACTTCACAGACCAAGGCAGACTCTTTCCAAATTCCTTCAGCTTTTAGAGAAGTGCCATGCATACTCACAATGTCCACTGGCCTTAGCCTGGCAGCCACTGCAACCCATCTTTGCCCATTGGTTCCCCTCTCCCCCGTCTGCTGCGCCCCTCCCCGCTGTGCCATTTGGGTTTTTGTCTATGTGGTGTTTCCATCTGCCACCTGGCAGGTCTGCATCTGAGTGGGGTTTCCATCTGCCCCTGGCAGCTGTTGGTCAGCTCCGCCACCTTGCTCCTGTGCTGCCATGCCGCTGGGCCTGCAACCGAGAGGCACACCTGCCCTCTGCCCAGTAGCTGCTGTTGGCTCCAGCCACCCCATTGTTGAGCAGCCGTGCTGCTGGATTTGTTCTGGCCACTGGGGCCTTTGCTCAGGCTATTTGCTCTTCTAGTGTGGCTTGTGCCTGGGCAACTGCAAACCCTAACCCTAACCTTTTCCATCTTCTGCCCAATAATTCATTAGGTTTGGTCACTATTCCATCTCACTGCCCAGCTCCCAGTAAGACTTTTCTTTGCCGTGCTTCTTGTGCAACTCATTAATGTTGTTATCACCAGCAAGATTCTTTTGTCGTTGGGCATTCTCGAGCACGGCCAGAGACTTTACATTAACACTGGAAGGGGGTTTACCTCTCATCCCCCCCCCCAAAAGGACTTTGTACTGTATTTTCCACCCTCCACAAAGACTTTGGACTATATTATTCCTCACCAATCGTGACTCTGAGGACCTTAGGTTTTGGGATCCAGATGATCTGGGAGGACACTAAAGGAGAGGGAGGGATGCTGTGAGGGAGGTGGGGGAAGTGTTATCCAGGCTTTTAAGCCAGCAAACTCCCAGTAAGTGAACATTTTATGCTGGAGCTGTATATCCTACAACAAATATCCGGGACTGTACAATACTGTAATTGTGAGAGGTTTCAAAGAGCAGGGCAACACAACAATCAGGTTAGCATTCTGAAGTGACTGTTACCAGGTGCCTCATCACCACATCCCATCTTTGTCCTACATTGTATTGCCAGTCCCACTGCCTGGCAAATCTACCACAACCCAGTCTAGAAAGAAGAAGAGAGCAAGCCCTGCATCTAGAAATCAGACAGATATGAAATAGGGCACATAGCATCACATGGAGCAATAGCAGAATCGACAGTGACCTTCTTAAAACTTATTATTTCCTCCTCTTGGTTTCCACATTGCATTGTTGTTGTGTCTTTATAAATATAAAATATAAATTGGTCTTGCCAAAGGCATACAATCTAAAATATATGTGTACACACGCACAGTGGGAAGGAAGAATAAAAATATAAAATTATACAATCTAGTTGTAAAACAAATCAGTCAAATAAAATACAAAACATACAAATATACTATGAAGCAACCAACAAATACATTAAATCTAAATATATAAGATTATAAAATAATATTAAGCTACAATTCCAAAATCTCTGGAATTTTTTTATTATTAATTGTTATTTTAAAATAACAAGGGAAGCCCATAAGTGTTCAGGGTGGTAATTCCAATAGTATGAAAGAGCAAGTAAAAATGAATAAAGCCAATTATCCATTAGGTCATCAACATCCCTCCTCTCCTTCAGAAGGAAGCTGAAAACATGGAAATGGGACCAGGCCTTTGGGTAATCTGGCAGACTGACAAGGTAATGATGACCAGAATTTGGAAATGACTATGGTAATGCTGAATGGACATACGGATTTGAGAACTCGGTGAATATTGGCCACTAGATTGGCTTTTTAGTTGTTATTGTATTAATTGAATGTTTTAACTATTGTGGTTATTGCTGTTCTGTATTTTATCTGTTGAATTGTTGGCATCGAATTATGCTGGTTGTAAGCCGCCCTGAGTCCCCTCTAGGGGGTCGAGAAGGGCGGGGTAGAAGTGCCCGAAATAAATAAATAAATAAACTATGGAAGATGAAACCTTGGTTCTGTGAAAAGCCTAGAGCTACTAGAATGCAAATCTCAAGCAAGTAAAGAAGTCAAAAAGAAGTATGGGGTGAAGATAGGAGGAGCTAAGTTATATAAGGTTTTGAATATTAAACAAGAAATCTGTACTGAAGCCTAGAAGGAATTCATAATCAATGAAGAGATATCAATGAGAAGATGACAATAGCATCCAAAATATTCCATCAAGTAGGGTCACCTGTAGAACTTGAATATTGTATGTATTCATGTATAAATCTAGAAATTTTAGTCAGGGAAAAGTGAACTGTAAAAACCTGGGCAGGCTTATCCAAGTGTCATTGTAAGCACTGTACCTTAACCTTTATCAAAAAAAGGGAATGATTCCATTCTCTGAGCAGATAAGCAAAATCTAAGAGCTCAGGCCATCCCAGGAGAAGCATAGGCCTGAAAGAAACACCGGGCCTCTCTATTCCCTTCACCCCAGCAACACTTCTGACCTTTCTGAATGTCTGGATGGGGAAATGGTAGGGATAGCTCACCCCTGAGGCAGCTCTGGGCTCTGCAGAAAAATCCTTGGCTTATCCATGAGTCATATCAAAAGCCATAATTTTGACATGCATGGGGTGGACTTAAACACAAGTATAAACAGCACTTTTCATGTTAGCATCAGAAGCCTAAGTCTGCGATTAAAAGCATCTGTGCAAACCAGCCATGAGACCCACGTGATGAAAACCTTCTCACATTAACGGTGCAACCAAGCTTCAAGGTCAGGCTTCAATCAAGTCTCTATTTTCCTCATTTTCTTCCAAAGGAGTTGAGATGCTTCTTGTTCTAACCAGAGGCTAAGTATGTGCAAGGTGATTCAAAGAAACACAAAAGAAGTACCTTCTCAATTCGTTCATGACTTTGAATGCCTTTCCCATGTGACATGAATTGATGGTCACTGTTCGCTGGTCCTTATCGCCATCTGCCTCAGGTGGCTGGGGGCATCTCTTGATGCTGTAAAGAAGAGGGAAAATAGAAACAAATTTAGCCCTTTTTATGCTCAAGAACTATAGTAAAAGTGGCCTAATAAGAAAGCACATATAACGACAGTCTCACTCATTCCTATGCATCACAAATGGTTGCTCAATTTATGTGGTATCACCAGCTGTCTATGCTGTGTTTGAAAAGTGTAACTGGAACACCCTTTTACGATTTCAGCTATGCCAGAGTGCATGCCTTCTACGTAACTATGTGAAATATGTGGCAGGGACACATGCAAAAATTCTCTGCTGAACTGAGACAAATATTTGTGAATACTAGACATAGATTTTAAAGTTTCAGAGGAGACACATACATAACTCTGCTCATTCCTAAATTAAAAAATAAAAATAAAACAGGGACTTTTAAAAACTGAGTTTTTCAACTGATTTTTTTACAGCAAGCACCATACTTTTTATTACACCTGGATAAGCAAGAGCAAAAGCTACACTGCAAAAAAGCAGGAAAGCAGACAGTCTTAATCCCTTTTCATCTATTCAAACATTGTGCAAACGGAAATACTTGGGTCTTCTCTGGATACTCTCTATAATTTCTTCATTGCAACATGAAAAACAAATGTATTAATCCTTCTGCCTAAAATCAAGGGTCAATCTTGTATTACTGTAAAAAACGGAACCTGAAAAAAAAATTTGAACTGTAGTTTCCTGAATCATCCAGCCAACATGGACACTGGCCAAATGGGCTGGGGATAGCGTTGATGCTTCCAGGGCCTGTCATCCCAAGAGATTCAGAGAACTTGTTTTCTTCACCAATCCTCTGAATTCTAATAGTTCAATAGATGAACATGTTTCACAAGTCTTTATTGTGGCACAGCAAAATGCTGTCATCATATCTATAAAACACAGCATCTAGATAGGTGGTAAAGCAAACCACAGTACTATTTATTTATTAAATTTACGGAAGATACGTTTGTATGTAATTTTAAAAAAATACCCACAAAACCTGGGTTGGTTTATACACTGGACTAAAGACCCAATACAAAGACACAGTCAAGAAATGTACTGTGACACCCTATTAAAAATGGCAATTGCACCCTCTCTGCAGATGAAGTTATGTATTAAAATTGAAAACCACTACTCTGCTCCACTTCAAACATCATTCTAAAATGACACTCCCAAGTTGATGCTGAACTCTGCTCAAGCCAAAAAGGTGAAGGAGGGAAGAGTGCCTTTCTTTCTCTGGTTTGGTTAAGAGAGAGTGTGGAAGTCCTTCTCACCCCTGCATCACGTCACTACTTTTGTGCTGGGTCCCTCATGGAGTCAGGTTCTCCTCAAACCTTTTTTCAGGCTGCATTCTCTTTCTGATTTATATTTCTTTTCCTATCTGTATTACTATAGATGTAGACCATTTTAAAATTGGCAATGCAACTTAGCCCCCCCCCCCCCCGCCGCAAACAACACAACACCTATTGTAGACCCTCTTTGTCTTTAAGTAGATCCTTTCTTCCTAAGAATGTTTCTTTTATGTATTTATGAAAGAAGAGGAACATATTTGTTTGTTACATGTCCCGAATATTTACCCTTACCATAGGTCAAAGTAAAATCTGTAACTTTGGCTCCCAAACTTGCCCTTAACTTATACATGAAGCTGATTTATACACAAGTATATATTGCATCCACTCTCCAGTAAGGTAAAAGCAAATATATAGTATTCTTTATGAATTTTTGTCTTTGCAATTAAACAAGTATGAACCACTCAATTAAATTCCATAAGCACAGCCCAACTGATTTTAAACTAAAGTGTGTAATGTTACTCAGAGGGAATGTGCTTTTTAAATCCTAAAAGCCAATGCCATTCCTTCCTGTAGCCTAGAAATAAACATAAAACCTTGTCAAACCAGTTCCACCTTTAAACAAAAATAAAAGAAAAACACATTCATTGACAGTGTGTTACCAATACAGCTGTAGGAAAACAGTTCCCGATCACTTCTCTGATAATGTTACCATTTCCCCAAAGAGAAAAGCTTTTTTTAAAACATGGTTCAAACAAAGCCAAAACTAACCTGTGCTGCATTCCACATAGGCAGTTTCCTGTTTTCACTGGATCCTCAATCACTTGGCTCTTTAACGTAATGGATTTCTACTGTAGCCACATTATGCACTTAAGGAAGGTGAGCTCATGCACAAGACATTACAAGCCCCTTTCACACAGAAGTTTGTTCAATTAGATTGTGCTGGTACAGCTGTACCAGGAGCTCCAATTTTGTTTGCTTTGCATTAAATGTCTGTTTGCAATCCCAGGCTTGGGATTTTGCAGCAGGGTGGCTTCCTGTTATAGTTTGCAATCATAGGGCAAGCCACCTGTCAATTATCGTTAGGTTCATTGGTCCCGTCCCTTTTTGAGTTTTGGAGAATAGGAGCCTTTTTGAGTTAGTTCTCACAGAGAAGCTTTTCGCACAGGACATAAAACGAAGTAGCTCCTGTAGAAAGCTTCGTCTTCTACGGCTTGGCCAGGGAGATATACAGCCTACAGCCTGACTGGAGTTATACAGCCTTACAACTCCTTCGCTGAGGGACTTCAGTCAGCCATCACAGCAACCTGAACTCCTTCTTTTTCCCTGGAAGTCTACAAAGCTCTGCTTGGCAAGGGTCGTTCGCGGAAGCCAGACGCAGTTGGTACCGGGTGCAGGGGCTCCACGCCAAGAGGCAAGTACAGATTGCCCAGATTAGAAGTTAAGGATTTCCCCATTAGTTAATTACAGTTAAGAAGATAGTGCCTGTTCCCAGTGAACAAGATTGCAAGAACCAAAAGACTGTTAAGAAAGCTTGAAAGTACCTGTTTGTTTCCATCAATAAAGAACTTTGTTGGATTAACTTTAAGCAATCTAAAGACTCTGTTTGGGGGAATCTAAGGGCCTATAATCTGAGGCAGCCCCGGCGTCCCGTTGGGCCCAGAGAATTTATGTCCTGTCTACAGTCTAATGCACAGGCCCAGAGTGCGACAGCATATAGATACCAAGGCCATTGAGTTAAAGTAACATATATTGCCTCACTCATCTTATCCCTCTTCACTCCATCTTGAAATATGGTCCTTCAGGTGTTTGGGATTTAAACTCCCAGTAGCCCCAGCCAGCGAGTCCAACTGTCATGAATTCTAGGAGCCGAAATCCAAAACATTTAAAAACTAAAAGCTGGAAACCACTAATCAAATGTCTCCACAGAATCAAGCTGGAGGACCTAGAGATTCTTAGAGAAGTGTTCTCTCTCGAAATATCTATATTCTTCAATGTGAAGTTGCCACAAAGTCGCCCTGAGGAACCTAAGATGCATAGAAAGGGTTATCTTATCCAAATCTGCAAAAGTTAAACCCACAAATGTATGGAGTTAACTGTTTAGGCATTTGTGCCACACTTATGGGCACCTGGAAGGGAGTGCTACATCATAGACAAATCACTCAGGGTTGCACAGCATGGTAAGTGGTGTTTCAAACATTTAAACAGAGTTAGTATTAGAAAACAACAAACAAGATTCCCAACAATGAGTTGGCAACTCAGGACCTTTTCTAGAACAAACAGGGAGGGAGGAATTGTACAATTGAATAGTTTGATCAACAGAGATATCAGTGTTTCTCTTTGTGACATAATCCTCCTTCAAGCAGTCACCTGAACAGGGCTAAAACTAAAGGCGGATATGTGAATGGCACCAAATTCACATCTTCCTGATGTCCCTGACGGTTTGGGTGTCAATTAGACCATTTGAAATCCTAAATTTACCAGCAAGAGCGGTCAAACTGCAACTCATGGGCCATATGCCGCCCCAGAGCCCCAACTTGGGGTTCCTGATGCCCCAAAATAGGGTGCTCTCATTAGAAGTCCCAAAATGAAACATTAGGTCACACCAAGTGCATTGGAAACATGGTCTCTATCTCTTCAATTGTTGTACCTACCATTATTATTGTTGGTCTGAAATTATATCCAATAACATATTGTTCTGTTTATGTACTTTTAAAATGCCCCTCTGTAATTCTTTTGTTTAATATAAGTTTGTTAGGAGTATGCTGTATTATCAAAATGTTTTGTAAAGGACGTTCTGTCACAGACAAAAAATGATGAGTAAAATACATTAGTTGTAATACAGAATGCTGTTATTAGAACCAAATAAAAAATTACAAAATAATAAGCAAGATTTGTAGGGTTCTTCTTCAAGTCAAGACATAATAAAAATAGCACCAAAAAAAACCCAGCAAGAGAGAAATGTAGGAAAGTCTACAAGTGAACCATGGCATAATTCAGAAATTTAACAAATGTAACTTCATCTCATTTGCTAATAAGACTGTTACGTATCTGATAGGATTGTGGTATGTAGATAGAAGGCAGCCAATGCAGCAAGTTTGCACACAAACACTTCATCACACTAGAGAAAAAATCCACTTAAAATCCAGTTTCTGCCTCCTACAGAATTCTGGGGTTTGTAGTTTAGTTAGGATGTTAAAGGCTCCTCCCTAAACTACAAACCCCAGAATCTGAAGGAGGCAGAAACCGGATATTAAGTGGATATTTTCTCTAGTGTGACGAGGCCCTACTCAACCAATGCATAGCTCCTGCCCTCTGATGGGAAACTAGCTCTACAAGTGTTGTAGTACAGCGTGATAGTAACGTTACTACTACCGGTAGAAGGGAGAAGAGGGCTGCACAGGTATTGGAGGAGGAGCAGCAGCGAAAGCGGATTAGAGACATATTCATGGCACCAACTGATTCCGAATCCTTTGAGGGTTTCTCAGACTGTGAAATGGGGGAAGGAGAGGAAAGCAGGGGAGTTAAGTGGGCTTGGACGTTCCTGGACTCCGGACTGCTTTTGGACTCTGATTTTGCTTGCTCCCACATTTAAACAGAGTTAAACAGTATTCTGGTGCCTTTTTGACATTTTGAATTACAAGCAGATTGCTGTATATTTTCGTTCTCCCAGACTATACTCCGGGATAATCAGGATTATATTTAAATTGGGTTTTTCACTTAG